AATCTGTAGTGAATTTTATTTTCATGAGTCCTTTTGATGTATTTAAATTGTGAAATGGGTTCCTAAGACTCCCATTGTGTTTGTTTTTAAGTCCCAGCAGTTGAGTCCAGGACCACCATGTGGCTCAGGGGCTCTGCACAAGGTCAGGTTCAACCCCCAGCCCTGACCCTGGGGTTGAAAGGTTGGAAAGTGAGACTTAGCTCTGATGCCCGGTAAATTATAGGAGTTGAAGCCAGGCGTGGAGGTGCACACCTTCGATCCTAGCATTTGGAAGGCTGAGGCAGGAGGATTGCTACAACTTAAAAGCCAGCCTGAACTACATAGTAAAGCCCTGTCTCAAAAAAGAAAAAAGTAAGTTATAGGTCCTGGGTCAAGACTACAAAACACAGAGACCCAGTCCCATTGGAATTTCAGATAAACAATCAATGCATTTTAAGTGAAATATGTCCTGAATCTTTCATGGGAGATAGTTATACTAAAAAAACTGTTTTATCTGAAATTAAAATTGAACTGGGCAGGACTGAGGATGACTCAGTTCTAGAACACTTGCCTAACATGTTGGAGGCCATGGGTTTAATCCCTAATACCACACACACACACACACACACACACACACGTGAAGCATGGAAAAAAATTTTAACTGGGCATTCTGTATTTTCTCTGGCAACCCAGATGTGAATATTTTTTTTTTGAGACAGTCTTGCTATGTAGCCTTAAACTCGTGGTGATCCTCCTGCCTCAGCCTCCCACGCTCTGGAGTTACAGGGATGAACCACAATTATGATTCTTAATTCCTGTAAAAGGAGACAGGTTTTTTGTTTGGTTGGTTTTTTTTAGTACCAGGGATCAAACTCACGACCTTGCACTTGCCAGGCAGGCACTTTTGCTGCTGAGCTAAATTCCTGGCCCTGAGGAAAGAGTTTTTGAAGGACTCTCATTTAATTCTCCCCCTCTCCTCATGAAAGAGGCTCACTCTGCGAGATGAAGTGACCCCAGGTCACCCAGCTAGAAAATTCTGAGGTGGCGTTTGAAGTTGGGTGTGTCCAAGTGCGCTGTGACCTGCCGACTTGGAATTCCAGGCAGATGTACAGTGACCCACATAGGGCAGCGGGGGAGCCAGGAGCCTGCTTAGGCAGAACAGACGTTTGTACTGACCAAGAAGGGATAAAAAGAGCAAGAGGGCCGGCTGAAGCCCTGTGCCCTGCTCTGCCTGTGTTCCTTCTTACTGCTGTCGTGACAGAGGACCGCCAGCTGGGCAGGGACTGAAATCAGGTGTCAGCGAGCTGTGTGCCCCATCCCCATCGGGGCTGTGAATCCCTGCCCTTTCCACTTCTGAAGCTTCCGAGGATCCTGGCTGAGAGCCACCACGCTCCAGCCTCTGTGGCTCTGACCCCTGCCTCCCTCTTTTAATGACTCTCAGGATTAGAGGGGCCCCCAGATAATGCAGGATGACTCCCGAATCTTAACATCCTTCATCACATCTGCAGAGTCCTCTGCAGAGCCACGAAAGGTGATACGGTTCCAGCTTCCATGCAGACAACTGCAGGGAACTGGGATCCTGCCCGCCTCGCTGCCAAGGAGGGAAGCTGCCTGGTGGCTTCCAGTGCTCTGGATCTTCACTAGAATCTTTCATCCACACTGCTTTTAGAACACTTACACACGTACGCACACACATGCACACACATACTCATGGGCTGTTTTTCTTCCTTGAATTGATCCTGGGAAGCCGCTGAAGGGTGCAGAGCCAGTACAGAAAAGGAGGTGGGTGAAACCATCTGGCCAGGTCACAGCTAGAAAATCTCAGGGTCCTGACCCTCCCATCCTCTGCATGGTTCCCAGCCATGCGCCAGGAGCACACTGTCCTCCAGGTGAATTGAGGTGATCCTCAGGTCCCCCCTAATCCATAGAGGAAACTCCCCAAGGTGGACCAACACCCTGCCAGGATTCTACCCCCAGCAGCCAGGTGAGTGGGGAGAGGCAGCATGGAGCCCCAAGACTCAGTGTCTCCCCATCTGAGACCTGTACCCAACAGGACCCCAGGGGGAGCTCAGCTTCGTGCAAAATCATCTCAGCTCAAACCTCCCAGGATGGAGCACAGGGGCTTCTGAGTAAACTGTGTGCTCAAGTCTCAGCTTTGCCCCTGGTTGGGCCATCCTCCTTAGAGAGGGGACAGTGCCCCAACTCGGTGGGGTTGCTGTCTGTCTCTGTCACCTCTCCATTTTGTAATCTCAAAAAGTTAAGCAGCTCTGATGTGACCTGCTACTTTCCTGAAGGAAGATGACCATGCACTGAGCACCCTGGGAAATGAGCCTTCAGGGGCTGACAACACAGTCCAGCCAGGTGGCACCCCTGCCTGACCACGTCCTCCCCCCCCCCCCAATCTCCTTCCTGGCCATCCTTGATCTTCACAGAAGCCTCCAGCCAGGCGGCCCACTAGTTAACTCCCTAGGGCTCAGAGCTTCCTGGAAGCTGGGTGCTCACCTCTGTCTTTTTCTGTTTTCCCTAGAGGATTCAGACTTCCTAGAGGGCAGAAGGAGGCCTTTTTCCTCCCCCTTACATCTCACTGAGCTCCCACTGCAGCCTGGGCAGTGAACTGTTCCCACTTCCCTTCAAGAAAGAACTCACTGAGTCAGGCATGGTGACCCATCCTGTAATCGCAGCCACTTTTGAGGCCGAGGCAGGAGGATCACAAGCTTGAGCCCAGCCTAGGCAACCTAGGGAGACCCTTTCTCCAAATAGAATTAAAAAGAGTTGGGATGTAGCTCAGCGGCAGAAGCGAGTTTAATTCCCAGTATCAAAAAAAAAAAAAAAAAAAAAAAAAAAAGAAAAGAAAAAAAGAAAAAGAAAGAAAGAAAAGAAGAAGAAAATGATTTTCCTTGTAACTGATAAATAGTGATTCTTACATTCATGGGGCACCGTAGCCTTCCTGAAGGCTCACATGGGTCTCCTTTGGTTGAGACTCAATTTTCAGGACTTCCTGCTCCATCACCCATTGAAGCCTGCATAGGATGAACTCACACTAAGCTTGGTAGGAATGCAAGCCCTTCCTCCCCCGCCCAGCCTACCCCACCCCGAGAAGGGGCTTGGAGAAACGCTGACCACACATTTTCACCCCTGCGGGATCCCCATCCCCTCTCTTGACAAATCACACTGAGGATTCTGCTGCTCGCCTTGAACTTGGGAAAACCAGGTTCAAGGGTGCTCTTGCTGGTGGGGGTGAGTTTTGTGTCCTGTCTTCTCTGAGCTGTTCTGTGTGATGCGTGTGGGGTGCATCTCCCGCCCCACGCTGTCACGACTGGAGAACATCGGTCTTCACCTCCAGTTTGCCACACTACAGCCCACTTTTATTTGCCTTTTTCCATCGCGCTAGTATGTTCACAATCTTTGAAAAACAAAAGACAGCATGCGATTTGTAGCAACCCAGTTTCAGCAGTGTTGTTTGTTGCCATTTTAGGAAAATCCAGCGATTCTTCTTTTTTGTCTGTTTCATTTTTATCGGTATTGGAGATCAAACTCTCGACCACCTGCTTGCAAGGCAGGCGCTTATGCCGCTGAGCTAAATCCCCAGCCCCAATCCGGCGATTCTTGATAGCTGTAAATTAAATCAGTACTGGTGGCGGGCTGCACTTTTTTTCTAAGTGGGAAATGGTTTTTTTTTTTTTTTTTGTCTTTTTCATTTCTATCGGTACCAGGGATCGAACTCACAACTGCCTGCTTGTAAGGCAGGCGCTTATGCTGCTGAGCTAAATCCCCAGCCCCGGGAAATGGGTTTTAAATGCATAGTAATTTCACTCGTGGTCTTTTGCAGGAGATATTGGAACCTCCCTTTTAGAAGTGAGAAAACTGTGGCTCAGAGACCGTAAGAGGCCAGCCTCATATGCAGGAGGTCATGGGTTTGATCCTTAGTACCAAAAACAAAAAACAGAGAGTGTAAGGAGCCAGCCTGAGGGCACATAGCAAGTGGCAGAGGTGTGAGTAGACTGGATCTGTCTGGCCCTGGTGTTTCTCCTGAGGGGACACCGCTGCTTAGTGACTGTCATATACTAAGCCGGGGCTTGGTAGGGAGAGTGGGCCCTGCATTCCCTGTGCCAGTGGAGTTTACACGCTGGTAGTGAGTTTGACAGTAGGCTCCACGTCCACCAACAAATCATTCCGAAATGCATCAGGCTTCTGGAAAAATTATAAATCAATTGCACTTAGAAATCCATGATCACGAAGCTGGGTGTGGTGGTAAGTGCCTATCAGGCCAGCCCTCTGGCAGGCTAAAGCAGGAAGATTGCAAATTTGGGTGCTTTTTTTTTTTGGTACCAGGGATTCAAACTCATGCTTGCCAGGCAGGTACTTATCCTACTGAGCTAAATCCCCAGCCCTTAAGACTGCAAGTTTGAACCCAGCCTGGACAATTTAGCAAGATCCTGTCTCAAAACGTTTAAACAAATTTAAAGGGGCTGAGGATATAGCTCAGTGGGGAGGCTCTTGTTTCAGTCCTCAGCATTAATTCATTAGAGATTACAGAGAAGGGATAATTTTGTTTTGTTTTGAGACAGAATCTCGCTAGGTACTTCAGGCTGGCTTTGAGCTCACTATGTAGCTCAGGCTGGCCTCAAACCTGAAACCCTGATCCTCCCGCCTCAGCCTCCCGTGTGCCGTGGTCACAGGCGTGCACCACGCCTGGCTAGAAGGGAAACTCTAAATTAGGGACTCTTGGTCACCATGTCCAAGGACCGCAAATCGCGGTGAGGCCAGCACGGTTGGTCCAGGAAGGGACAGAGAGGTAGTGAGTGGAGCAGGGTCCCTTCCCGCCTGGCCAGGAGGGTGACGTCACGGTGCCCCTCCTGTGACGCTGGAGGTGTTCACTCCCGGGTCTGGCCAGGGAGGAGCCGCCCACGCTGGGCAGGCGCCGGTCTGATGAGGAGAGTGGCCAGTAGGATTTGTCCACCCCAGCAGGCGGGTGGGTGCCCTGCGCGCGCCACTGGTTGCTAGGGACGCCCGGCGGTCGTTGGGGGGCGGGGCCGAGGTCCCCAGTCCGGTGGCTGCCGGGTGGGGCGGCACCATGAAGTCAGCCAAGAAGGACTCCCGCTCCCGAGTCCCCGCTGGCAGGGTTTTAGAGCCCACCGAGAACATCAAAGGTTGGCGCCGGCTGCCTTGGGTGCTCGGGAGAACCTGACGGGGGCGCTCCGGTTGGGACTCAGTCCCGGGGCCCGGAGGACCCGAGGGCCCTTGGCACCCTCGAAAGTCATGCCACTGGGAGCCCGGTGTAGTGGGACACAGGGCGGTTTAGTGAGACCCTGTCTCCAAAAAGGGCAAATAGCTCAGGGTGACAGCCCTGCGTTCACCCCCAAATACCAGAAAAAATATCACTGAGAAGTGAGGCTCAGGACCCGAGAGCCTTAAGGATCATGAAGGGACCAGGCAGAGGCCCTGGAAAGGATGAGCTTGGCCTTAGAGCTGGGGACAGAGCAGGTCCAGGCTGGGGGGGGGGGGGCTGGGGTCAGCACTGAGGAGATGGCTCGGTGCAGCAGAAGGAGAGATCCTGCCTCTAGCCTTGTCTTAGGTGGCTGGTGGGGAGCACCCTGAGCACTGGTGAGCTGCCTCACAGCCAGGAAAGAGACTGAGGCTTGGAGAGGCCCTGAAATCCGATCTTTGGAGGTGGACTCCGGGAAAGAGTATAAGAAAGAGGGGAGATGGCAAACCTGGCCACCTCGATGGGACCCGGACAGGGAGGGATCCTCTCAGAGTCCTGCTGGGAAAACCTGGAAGAAAGGCTGGATTTTGGGAGTCCTACCTGGGATGGCCTTCTCTGCCTTGTGTCCTGCCCTGGCTGACCCGCAGGACAAGTTCCCTCGGCTCCCTCCTCTGTCCCCGCCCTCCATCCCAGTGCTAAACCTAGTACCTACCAGCAAGCTGCACCCCCAGTCCTTCTGTCTATCTAGAGCCTGCCATGTGTGGGCCCTCTGCAGGGTCCCCAGGGCGTCTTAGTCACTGTCTTCACCTCTGGGACACAGTGCTGGACATTTGCCACTTAAGACAGGAGAGGTTTATTTCAGCCCACATTTCAGTCCCTGGTCCTCTGGCTCCAAGGCAGGACAGCATGGTGGCGGGGCGTGGCGGAGGGAAGCTGCTCACTTCCTGGGGCACAGGAAGCAGAGGCCCAGAGGGAGGAAGTGGGGAGGAGACAAACCCTCCCAGGCCACACCCACAATGACCCCACTCCCCGCCCACCAGCTCCTATCGTGGACCACTGTAACAAGCCCACAGCCAATCACCTTCCACACACAGGAGCCTTTGGGGCCATTGTACTTCTAAACCCCAGGGAAGAGTGGGAGAGGTACCTCTGTGACCCCAGCCCTCCAGAAACTTGGAGCCTGTGGAGACCCAGAGGAGAACCTGGATGAAAGTGCATGGCTAAGTGGCATAGGGGCCCCTGGAGTCTGGGGGCTCAGCGCCTGGCCAGGAGGAGGGGTTCTGAAAAAGCTGACATTTGAGGCCAAGAGAATGGAGAAGAGGGGAGGGAGGAAAAAGAAGGGGGAGAAAAAAGAACAGAGGAGGGGGTGTGTTTCTGCAGACATGGGGGGCCCCCGCAAGGTTCCTGGACCCGTGAACCTGAGAGCTGAGGGGGCTCTGCGGGCCCTGGGGCCCCAGCTTCAGGGCCCCGCTCAGCCAACACTCAGGGTGCAGAGGAGGCCAGGCCTGGAGTCAGCGGGGTTCCCTGGGAGGCCAGGAAAACTGTGAAGCCTGTGGCCTTCTTTCATGCTTCTTCACTGTGCAGAAGGCTGGTGCTGTTTCCTGACATAGTTTTTAATAGTTGAGAGAGAGAAGAAGAGAGGGAGAGAGAGAGAGGAAAAAAATAATCTTTCTTATCAAGGGCAGTCAAGGGCTTTTCCAGCCACCGCGCCTGCTTACCTCATTTCTGTGCAGTCCTAATCAGATTTAAACTTTCTGCTGTAAACAAATCAAGGGAAGATTTTTCACTGTGTGTTTATTTTTAATAAGGGGGAAATTAAACAGCCCTGCGGTTAAGAACATACCCCGAGTGAGGCAGGTGGAAGGCCCAGGCTTAGCAGGTATTGTTCCTGAACTTCCTTGGGGAAGCCTCCAGTGTGGTCAGACTCTGTCAGACTCAGAATCGCGAGTGGAAAAGGCAAAAAAATTCAGTGACCAGCTGGGCGTGGTGGTGCATGCCTGTATTCCTAGCACTTGGGAGGCTGAGGCAAGAGGATTGCCAAGAGTTTCTTTTTTTTAAACAGAGTCTAATTATGTGTTTCAGGCTGACCTTGAACTCACTGTGTGGCCTTGACTTTCAAGAATCCTTCTGCCTCAGCCTCTTAAGTGCTGAGAGTTTAGGAGGGCTGCTATACCTGGTTTTCTATGATTTAATATTTTTAAAATCAAGGGAGTTGAGGGTCTGGCTCCACACAGTCAGTAGTCAGAGTGTGTTGGTAAAACTCCTCCAGAAGCCAGACTGGTGGCACAAGCCTGTAATCATAGCACTCAGAAGGCTGAGGCAGGAGGAGCGCTGCAAATTCAAGACCAGTCTGGGCTACAAAGTGAGTTCAAGGCCAGCCTGAACTGCACAGGGAGACCCTGTCTCAAAAAGACCAAAAAAATCCTCCAGAAGATTCCGAGACAGACATTAGACTGATAGTTGGGGAATGCTGATGTAATTCAACTTTCTCTTTTTTAAGAATGGAAGGAGGCACCTAGAGAGGTTAAGTCTTGCTCTTCCAGGCTGTCCAGCATCTAAATAAGCCTGCAGGGCAACCTCTTTGGATCTCAGTTCTGGTGACAGTCACTGTGTCAGTCCGGGGACAGTGGGTAGGGGACCCTAAGAGAGACCTCCCCTACCCCTGTCAGGCTGTCTGAGCAGCCAGCTGTGCTCCTCTGTTCACTCTAAAATGAATTTGTCCTTATTTATTTTTTATTTTTATGTTTATAGCATGGTAACTTTCTTATATAAAAACTTGCAATTCTCTGTTTTTTGTTTTTCAGAAAAGAAGCGGGCAAAGATCCCTGAGCAGTCCACGCCCCCCATCCAGGAGGAGCCTGAGCCGGTCAGCAACGTGCTGCAGGGAGATGACATTCTCGCCTTGGCCATTCAGAAGGAGGACTTGAGGAAGGTGAGCGTGGACCCCGATCTCCTGGGCCCTCTGGCCTGGAACCTCAGCCGCACCCGTCTCTCCACGGGTTCCAGTCTCCCCCGAGCACCATGGAAAAACACGAGCTCTTCTGCTTGTGTGTCCTTGGACACCCGGAGTTGTTTGCCTTCACACTTCTGAGGTCCCTGTGGAGTCAATGAGAGAAGAGGTCTCTTGCTTCTCAGAGAGGCGAGAACAATTATTCCCATTTTATTTTACTGTGTTTTTTTTTTTTTTTTTGTACTGGGAATTAAATCCAGGGCCTTGTGCTTGCCAGGTGGGCGCTTGCACCACTGAGCTATATTCCCTGCCCTCCCCGTTTTTTTGTCTTTAAAGAGACAGAGTTTCGCTATGCAGTGCAGGCTGGCTTTGAACTCACTTCCTAGCGTAGGCTGGACTTGAACTCGCAGCTATCCTCCTGCCTCAGCCTCCCAGAATGTTGAGATTACAGGTGCCACTGTGGCCAACTGGAAAGCCAGTTTAAGCAGCCGAGGTGGAGACGTGGCTGGAACTGAGTTCTAACCCTGTCAGCCGCTTCCCGCCTGAGCTCCGGGGAGGCGGCTGCTGCTACTTTTCCTTCCCAGGATGCACCTACCTCTTCTGTGTGTCCCCCAGTCGTTTCCTCGAGGGAACATATGGGCTGAGCTGGGGAAGCAGCCACGCCAGCCTCCAGGAATCCCTGCAGGAGCTGGCACAGAGAGATGGGGTGCCCCTCCTCCTCCTCCTCCTCCTCCTCGCAGGTGCAATCCCCTTCTGTTTCCTTTTCAGCAACACATCCCTCGCCACGTGGAAGACAGCCCCGCCGTTACCCAGAAAATTTTCATCCGTAAGCTCAAACCCAGGGATTCTCGGAAGAAGGTCCAGCACTTAGTAGCACACCCCGCACACCCAGATGTGGCCGAGAAGCCCCTGGACTACTCGGGTAGGGCCAGTCTTTGAGGAAAGCTGCCCCACATGGCGCTTTACATCCTCTCCCTGCAATTCCTCTTGTCCTGTCCCTCTTTGCTCTCCAGGTCCCCGTGACAGCTTTGATGGCCGGGACCGGATCCTGCCTCACCACATCTTGGGGACTCTCCAGGACTTCAAGAGAATTGCACTTGCTCGAGGGAACACACGGGTGCGTTTGTGTAGAGCTGTCAGGCCCAGAGCAGCGGCTGAGGGCATTTTATTCAGCTACCTGCAGAGTCAAGTAGCATCACATGGGGGTAGAAAGAGGGCTCCCCACAGTCCCCAGGGGGACTTTCTATCGCGTAGTGCTTCTCTGTCCTCAGAGCCTTCTCTCCATGGTGCCAGGGTATCTGAGGTGGCACGGAGTGGCTCAGTCACCCTGGGCAGAGGTGCCTCGTAACATGTGCTGTGAGGCAGTCAGCGCTCAGAGATGCTCACCGCAATCTGAGAATCAGTGTCGTTCCCCCCCCCCCTGCGATTTGTTGTCACCTGCCACCCACAGGCCGGCAGGGAACGTTCTCAGTGGAGCAGGACATGAGGGGCCCTGGTTGAGATCCCCCCTGCCCAGCAATGGCCTTGTGCGTTCCAGCTGGCTGAGCTGATCCGCACCCCACCCAGCGTCACGACCCTCATCTCAGCTAGGGAAGAGCCAACACCAGAGGTCCCGAAGCAACAGGAGAGGCATCCCTGGGCCCGGCCGCCTCAGCAAAACTTCCTGAAACACTGGCGCAGGCACCTGGCCCTGAGGAAGAAGCAGCAGGAAGCCCTCAGTGGTGAGCAGAGCCCGCAGGACTCCCGCCTGGCCTCCATCTGGCACAGAGGCTCGGATCAGCTCTTCTCTCTTCCCTACCCGTCGCTGGGTGTGTAATCCCAGCGCTGCGGGAGGCCGAGGCAGGAGGACTGCAAGTTTGAACCCAGCCTGGACAATTTAATGACTCAGGAAGACCCTTGTCCCACTTAACTGGCACTGGGGATCCCTGGAGCTTTGCTGGTCTCTTGGGGACTTAGGGAGACCCTGTCTCAAAATAAAATTTTTTTAGAAAGAACCGGGGATGGAGCTCAGTGGGAATGTCCTGGGTTCCATCTCCAGTGGCACAAAATGAAAAGCAGAGCCACCACCTTGGCGCTGCAGCTCGGGGCGTCGGGGCCCTGGGTCCCCACTTGGCTGAGCGGCCTCATTCGTACCTCTTGCTCCCCAGAGCATCTGAAGAAGCCGGTCAGTGAGCTGCTGATGCACTCAGGAGAGACCTACAGACAGATCCAGGAGCAGCGGGAGTGCATCAACCGCTGGCTGCCGACCAGGCACGATGGCAAAGTGAGCACAGCCCTGCCCTCAGCGCCCTGTCAGGGAGCGGGGTCCAGGGGAGGTGTCTGGAGATGCACAGCTGGGGCGGAAGCAAGCTCACCTTTGCAAGCACTGTGAGCCACTTGTTTGGTTGTAGGAGGATGAGATCACTTAGTGACTCAGCCTGGGGGGTCACAGTGGTCAATTTGACACAGAGCCACTGCCAAAGCGGTGGTGTTCATCTCCTGAAGGCTCAGCCGCCAGCCCTCGGGCTCCCTGAAGCTCTGAGCTTTGTCTTTGAGTGACAGCTAGTCCCTGGCCCTGCCCACACCATCTTTCTGGGGGCAGTAAAGGCCACAGTGGGCATCCTGGAGGTAGCCAAGGACCTCACCCCTACCCCATGGAGCAGCGTGCCGCCTCTGCTGCTCCTCTTCCCACCCCCACCAGTCTCTGGCTGAGAAGTCAAGGTCACCTTCCTGCTCTGTGCCCCTCACCAGGACTACAAGGAGACCAGTGCGTTCTGGAGTCCCCTGGAATACCTGGGAGGAGAGATGACGGGTTTGCTCATCACCAAGACCAAAACCCAGCGTGGTCTGGTGGAGCCCATCACCTGCGTCAGGAAGCCTCGATGCGTTCAGATGGAGACCGGTAAGGAGCAGCCCAGGATTACAGGGCAGAGTAATGGGCATTTGCTTGGCTTGCTGGGGCCAGATCCTGGCTCTCTGTGGCCTTGGGCAAAGCCCCAGAGCCTTCTTAAGGTTCAGATCTGCTTTAGCAAAATGGGCAGCAGAAAAGAAATGTGACTTGGCCCTCGGAGGTGGGCCGGCAGTGTGGATGGCTCCCTGGGTTCCAAGACTAGTTTAGAGGGATGTAATTAATAATTGGTACACAGGTGATGTTTTGATAGATGGAATGAAATAAACCATACGCAGCGAGTTGCATCTCTCATTACCTTTCCACTTGGCATCTGGAAAGCCTGCAGTAACACACTAGCTGGCACGTGTGGCTGCTTTCATTATGTGATGCGTGGGCAGCCCGGCCGTGGAGCTGCCGGCTCTAAGCAGGTTTCTGAACGCGCTACATTGGGCTTCCCCGGCTCGAGGTTCCTCATCCTGGGCCATGTAGAGGGCTGGGCTGTTAAACCAGCCATGATGTCTATTGAGGAGTTCAGGCTCAATCAGACCCTCAGCAGGCAGCCGCCCAGATGGAGGATTGCAAGCTTGCCTTCCCCCGGGGAGGATTTACTTATTTAATTTCCAAATCCATTTTATTTCAAGGATAAAAAAAAGAAGAAGAAGAAAAAACTACAACAAAATTTCAAAACACATCAGTTGGGTGCAACAATCATCCTCACAGTTGTGAGCGGTCACCCCAGCTCATTCACCACCTGGGTGATTTCATGAGACCCCGTCTCAAAATAAAAAATTAAAGGGCTGGGGCTGTAATTCGTTGGTTCTCCATCCCTGGATTCAAACTCCAGGAATGGAAAAGGAAAAAGTGACTTGGTGTTTGGAAGCTGGTTGTGTGTGGGTCCTTTGGGAGTCTAGAGGCCCTTTGAAGCTGAATTTCTGTCCTTGTCCTTGTTGGAGATGATGGGTGCTGTCAGTGTCCTAGAGCAGGGGTGGAGGGGGGGCACATGACTCTGAGGGCCTCCTGCCCCCCCAGGATTACCAGCCTCAAAGGATGCTGGGTACCGCGGTGCCTGGGACCGCAGTCTCTTCCTGATCTACCGGCGCAAGGAGCTGCAGAGCCTGATGGCCGAGCTGGACTTCAGCCAACAGGTTAGCGGGGCCTCAGTGATGGGGGCTGTGGGGCCTCGGGTGCTGCCTGCCTTTGGTGAGCTCACCTGTCCTCACCATGTCCCTCTGAGGACATCGATGGCCTGGAGGTGGTGGGCCGAGGGCAGCCCTTCTCATCTGTCTCCGTGGAGGAGAGCATGGTGTCTGAAAAGAGCCAGGAGGACATTTCAGAAGACGATGACCAGTGAGTGGGGGGGACAGTGGCCCCAGAGTGCGAAGGGCAGGTTCCCTCCTGGGGCTTGGCAGAGTCCCTGGATCTGGATTGCCCGGCCAGGGGTCTGTGAGCTCCATGTGGCCAGACAGTGCCACCGCCAGAGACCCAGGTCATTGGCTTCTCCTTACAGGGACTTCTGCCCTGGTCATGGTGACGCAGCCCCCATGCCGATTCTCGGCCCTTCTCTGCTCTTCTGTGGGAAGCCGGCTTGTTGGGTCAGAGGCCATAACCCCCAGGACAAGGTAGAGGCCTTCACCGTCACCCCCTGGGGCTGGGGGGCGGTGCAGTCCAAGGTGACCTCGGCAGTCACAAGGAGCCAGGCTGTCTCCTGTTTGCATTTTTATCTGGTCACACATTTGGTGCGTCTCAAAATGGCAACAGCAACACTACCTCAAGCAAGAGGAATAAAGTCACACGGCTGGAGAGCGCGCATCATAAGCTCCCCAGTTTGTACCCAGTTCCCAAGCAGGTAGCCAAGCAAACACACAGACAGGGGCTGAAGGGTTCAAAAATAGTCCTCCAGTGCTGAGTTGCGGAAACATGTTTATTTTCTTACTATGGATGATAACCTCAGAGACAGACACTGTTGGGGGGTGACACCTTTCGGAGGGTGGCCAGGGACAGGGGACTTTTAGTGCTAAATCTGGACAAGTCAGAAGCAAACGGGGATAGGCTGGTCACTTTCCAGCTGGGACACTTCTCATACCCACTCTTTGTCCAGAGCCAGGTTGGAATTGGGGTGCGCCTGACCTTCGAAACCCTCGAAGGGGAGAAGACATCCTCAGAACTGACTGTGGTCAATAATGGCACGGTGGCCATTTGGTACGACTGGCGACGGCGGCCCCAGCCCGACTTTTTCCAGGACTTGAAGAAAACCAGGATGCAGCGGTTCTATTTTAACAACCGGGAAGGTAGTGCAGAGCCGCCCTCCTCCCGCTTCCTGGGTTTGTCCTCAGTATCTGGAAGACACCAGCATCTAGTTGGTGCCCCCCAAATTTGAGCCCGTCCTCCCCACCCTGTCCCCCCAGTTCTTCTGTGAAGAGTGTGGTCTTGTTACAGGGCAGGGCCCCAGAGGCCCCCAAAGCACAGACGAGGAACCAACTTTCCTCACCCCACCCAAGGGATAGGTTGAACTTTTGCTGGCTTCCATCACGTGAAAGGATTTTTCAGGTGCCTCTAATAAAGAATTAGAATTTATTAGGGTGTTTTTGAGGGAGAGTCGGAATCGAACTCAGGACCTTGTACTTGCTAGGCGGGTACTTGTGCCACTGAGCCACATCCCAGCCCTACTGGAATTTTAAAACAAAGCACTCCCAGAAATAGGGTGTCAGGTGTTGAGAGAGGGATGCACTGTTTCTTGGACAGGGGAACATTTTTGTATTATTTGAGGGGGTGGGAAATTAGGGGAAAAGATGCCTCAGCCCCTGGCAGGGTTAATTAGTGAGCCCACTAATTTTGTTTTTTAGAGATGGGTAATTTTAAACACTCTTTGAATTCGTCCAGTCTCTTCCTTTATCTTCAGATCAGGTTCCTGCTCTTTTTTAGCTCAGCTAATTAATGGACTTACAGTACCCCTAAGGACTTAACCAAGGGAATGCTTGCAGGGATAGCCTTGGGTAGGTGGGACTGAGTCCTGGAAGTTGCCTTCTTAAAAGTACAGGGTTTTAACTGGGCATGGTGGCTCACTCCTGTAACCCCAGCACTTGGGAGGCTGAGGCAGGTGGATTGTGGCAAGTTCGGGACCAGCCTTGGCTACAAAGTGACCTAAAGGCCAGCCTGAACTGAATAGAGAGACCCTGTTTCAAAAAGACAAAAAAAGTATAGGGTTTTGGTCAGGGATATAGCTCAATGACACAGTGCCTGCCTGGCCAGTGCTAGGCCCTGAGTTCAATTCATGGTACCAAAAAAGAAAAGAAAAGAAAAAGAAGAATACTACCAGTTTGTTTGTTTGTTTTGAGACAGAGTCTTGGTAGTCCAGGCTTGTAGTCCAGGCTGGCCTTGAATTCATTATGTAGTCCAGGTTGGCAGTGGATTTGTGGTGACCCTCCTGCTTCAGCCTCCGAAATGCCAGGATTTTAGACATGCACCCCCATGCCCCGCAAAAACACAGGTTTTTAAATTTTGATTTTCTTTGTTTCCTTTCTACCTATCTTGTTCTGTTCTACCTCAGTCTACACGCTTGTGTTTGTTCAGAGAATGGGACCTCTTGGGAACACAGGCTGGACATGTTCTGGGCTTCTTTACCTACCACACACAGGCCTGGGGCCAGGGTGGCCACCTGAGGCTCCCAGCTTTAGTGCTCAAAGTCAGCCGACCATTGCAGGAAATCTCTCAGTCCTGGGCCAACCGGGGTGGTTGGCCACCAGACCCAGGTCCCAGATGAAAGGAGCTTGGGGCTCAGCTCACTTCCTCCGGGTGGGTTTAGGACTGGGCCAGCCTCTCCCTAACGTCTATCTCCGGCCACCTCAGGTGTGATTCTGCCCGGAGAAACAAAAACCTTTACCTTCTTCTTCAAGTCTTTGAATGCCGGGGTCTTCAGGGAGTCCTGGGAGTTCCGAACCCACCCCACCCTCCTGGGCGGCGCCGTCCTGCTGGTCACTCTGCAGGCAGTGTCCCTGACCCAGGACGTTTTCAGGGATGAGAGGAAGTTGCTGGAGGTAAGGGACCAGGCCTTGGCCCCTGAGGACCCCAGGTAGGTTACCTTGGTTTCTGGGCAGCGCCTGCCAGGATCTTATTTCTCCCAGCCCCGGGGGTGAATTTTTCACACACAGGTGACCAAACTTGTCAGCGAACACTTGGGGGGCTTTGGGATGTAGCAGATGGGGTGCTCAGGTGGGGGAGGGCAGCAGGAGCCCCACCAGGCTGGGCCTCCACTGAGCTGGAACAAAAAGCTCCCAGGACCTGCGGTTCAGGCATCCGGAGGTGTGTACCGAGCAGATCATGTGAGCCTTGGCTGTATTTTGTTTCCTTCTGGCTGCTACTGTGCAGTGGAGGGACACTGAACCAACAGGACTTCCAAACCAGAGCCGACTCTGCACCCCCGTGGCTGTCCTAGGCAGTACTTTGCAGGATTTTTTGGAGATCCATGTGGCTTTGTTCTCCGAGGCCCCAGACACAGCCAGTTATTTCAGTTGGGCTTCAGCCAGGGTGACCAAAGGCGATTTTGGCAAACGTCAGACTCCCCGAATACACTGACCGTAAGGCTGATGCCATGCGCGACATCTTTCAGCTGGATTTCCATGGCCTTGGCTGGTTGGCCCTGACCAAACTGTGCACCCCACCCCCTCCTCCTAATGGGGAAAAGTAAAGGGTGACCTCCAGGTTCCATACCAGAGCCGCTGTGCTTTGAGTCCCTCACAGGGAACCAGCACGTTTGCAGAAGGAGACCACTCCAGAGGCTTTTGAGTCTCGGAGGAGGATTGAGTGTGTGTGAGAGAGAGAGGATGGCTGAACACTGACCCTCGGGAAGCACTAGGTCCCTGGGGTCTGCCGCCACCCCCAGGAGATGTGGGTGCTGGGAGCATGAGCTGCCATTGCGTGACACCTTCCCTTCCCCAGAGCAAGCTGGCTGCCCACGAGTCGGCTACCATCGTCCACAGCGTGCTGCAGGAGCTCCTGAGGGGCATCCTGACCCCCGAGCGCATGCCATCCCCGGTGGATGCCTACCTGACAGAGGAGGACCTGTTCCACCACAGGAACCCTGGGGTAAGGCTCCGTGCCATGCATGCCCCTTACCCCAGTGCCCCTGTGGGATTGGGGTGCTGTTATGCTCTCAAGTTACCCTGTGGACTCGGAGGCCCAGAGAGTGGCACAAACTCCCTCAAACCCAGCCTTTCCTTCTTTCCTTTCTTAGTTTTTTGATGCGAGTTCTCCTTATGTGGTTCAGGCTGATCTTGAACTTGTGGCAGTCTTCCTGCCTCAGCCTCCTGAGTAGTGATCTTACAAGGATACTCTTCCATACTCCACAAAACTCAAGCAACCCCAATGCAAAAACAGCTTTAATTGAAGATGCGCTGGTTGAAGGGGAAGTGGGGAGTCCCACTGGCCCCCTTGGCTCTTAGCAGTGCCCGCAGCAAGGGGTAAACCATAGCCAGCCTCCCCCTCACCGTCATCTCCCGCCTCTGCTGCAGCTGCATTACCAGTATCAGGTGGTTCAAGGCCTCCACCAGCTGTGGCACCAGTACATGATCCTGCCCCTCAAGGACAGGGAGTCCCGGCCCAGCCAGGAAGAGCTCCCGAGCTCCCGGATGCAGGCAGCCTCTCCAGAGAAGGTGAATCCTGAGAACTTCAGGAGTCCAGTCCTGGAGCTCCAGCTACGCCAGCAGGAGAGCAAGGCCTATAGGGACTCCCAGGATCCCTCCCTGTCCCAGAAGCCTGCTTCAGGGACCAAGAATTCCCTGCGCAAAAGCATCATGGAGGAGATCCTGGTGGAGGAGAGCCCAGACCTGGAGAGCTTCAGGAGTTACTCAGAGCCCAGCGGCTTCTCCTTGCCAGAGTGGAACCTCTGCCTGGGGGACCTCAGAAAGGTGCTCCTGGAACTCAGAGGGGGCTGGGGGACAGCTGGGCGCATGCTCAGAGCCAGCAAGGAATGCTCCAGTGGCACCATGGGCAGAGACTGAACCTCCTGAGGGCCGTAGAAAGCGATCTTTAGGTCACATCTTTTTTTCTGGGATGCCCCTGTATCTATGGTACAGGAAATGCTTCCCCTGGGACCCTGGTAAACCTTAGAGAAAGTTTGTGGGGACAATTTCTTTTTCTTTCTTTCTCCTCCTCCTCATCCTTCTCCTTCTCCTTCTTTTGAGACAGAGTCTCAGTGGCCTTGAACTCATTTGTAACCTAGGCTGGCCTCAGACTCACAGCAATCTTCCTGCCTCAGCCTCCCAAGTGCTGGAATTACAGGAGTGTGCCACCACGCCCGAGGGGTACGGGAGGGACCAGTCCCCACGGAAAGTGCCCTAGGCAAACCATGGCTCCCAGCCCCTGGTTCTGCACCACCTGCCCCATATCACTGTTCCCATCAGTAGAACACGTGGGACCTTTAGAGTCCTGCAGCAGAATGGCTGCCCGTGGTGCCCATGACCCTAACTAGGCTATGATGACAATAACCAGGCCGTGATGACCCTCCCCGAGGAGCACGAAAGAGAGGATGCGCTTGTCAGGGTCAACAGGGCAGCCCTGGAGCTGTGCCCAGAACAGAGGCCGCTGCAGGCCAACCTCCTGCACCAGCTGTGGTAGGAGAGCCTCCTGGTTCCTTCCCTCTGTAGCATCGGCCAGGGAACCTGGGGGGGGAGTTCAAGGTGTTGAGCTCAGGTTGCTAAAGATGCTGGTGATGCCCATGTTCAGGACCTGCCCCAGTCACCCCTTTACGCAGCGGAGCAGATGCCCTGCCTGTTTCCTTTCCTCTCCTCGAATTCCTTCTGGGTGGCCAGGACTCACTTCTGCAGGCTTGGGCCTTTTGCAGGGCTCAGCCCTTCCTACAGGGTGGGCCCCAGGTCCAGCCGTAGCTCTAGGCCTGCCTGAGGTCCTGAGCCCAGGCCTGGGCCATCTTTCCATGGAAAGCCAGACCCCACCTGAGCCTCGGGGCGGATGCGGGCTGGTGCCGGTCCACAGTAGTTCCACGGTTGTTCTTGGCACTAGAGCCCAGGGCCTCTGCAGGTTCAAGGACAAAAGGGGCAGCGTGGCTTCCCTGCGCTCCTGCTCTCTAGTCTGCAGCTGTGGCGAGACGTGACCGACAGCCTGGTGAGCCACTCCCTGTGGCTGCGGGTGCTGCTGAGCCTCCCGGAGAAGGAGACTGTGTATGTGTTCGCCCCCGAAGAGCAAGGTCAGAGCCTGGACAGTGCACCTCTGTGAACCTTCTTTCCCAGCCCCCACCCTGAAGGCTGTGGGGGTTTGGCCAGTTGTCACCCCAGGGTGGATGCCCCATAGGTGGAGCCCGTGAGCCCCAGCTGCCATGATGTGGGACCCGGAAGCCACCCTGGCAGCCCCCTTAAGTGACTCCCACTTGTCTTACAGGGGAGTCCTAGAAAATTTAAATGACTTTTCTGTGGCCAGACACAGGGACTGGAAGAAGAACGCAGTCTCTGTCTTTATCTGTCTGTATCTCTCTCAGTCTCTGTCTCTGTCTGTCTGTCTGTGTCTCTCTCAGTCTCTGTCTATGTCTGTCTGTCTGTCTGTCTTTCTGGTTTCTTTGAGTCAGGGTCTCCCTGCTATGCAGTCCAGGCCGATGGACTGGAGAACCCGGTGTCTTGTCCCTCACCCAAACGAGGCAGCCTGTGGAGGTTGCCCAGAGCAGGGCCCTGGGCTGTTACTTGTGCTCACCCGTGTCACACCGAGGTTGTCACTGAGGATGTCACCTTCTGCTCACCTCCCTTAGATCAGAAATCAGTTCCCACCATGGAAATAAAGGCAACAGTTGGGAAACCTGGGAAGGAGGAGCGGAAAGGGACTGCCCAGGAGAAGAAGCAAGGGGCCACCAAGGACAAAGAGGACAAGAAAGGAGCCAAGACGCCCGTGAAAGAGGCACGCAGGGCTGGTTCGCGCCCCGATGGGTGGGGAGGGCGCTGGAGGCCATCTGGAGGGGATGGTGGTGCTGGGATGTCTGAGGTCCACCTCAGGATCCATGGGGACTCCATTGTCCCAAGCAGGACCGCGCGAACAGCAAAAAGCAGAAGGTGAAGGAGGACAAGAAAGTGGTAAAGTCCTCGAGTCGAGACCGACTGTCCTTGGAAGACCCCACACCCGACAGCGCCATGGCGTCTCAGGAGCCCGCCGACCCCCTGGTCCTGGAGAAATACATGCACCGGCTGCACACCGAGGTGCGGGAGGTCTCTGTCACACCTTCCCACCCACACCCAAGCCCCTTAGTCCCTCTGCTGTCACCTGACAGAGGCAGGGACAGGCAGAGGGCATCCTGTGAGCCAGGCAGATCTCATAAATAAGCAGCCCAGAGAAAGTATCCATAGGCCCAGTGGCAGGGGTCACCCAGGGCTGTCAGAGGCCGGGTGGGCCAGCTGGGCCTCACTGAACCAGTGAGATCCTGCAAAATCTTGAAGACGGTGAAGGGTGTCAGGGGCGAGAGGGGGCAGCAGACAAGTGTGTAGAGGGACACAAGGACGCGGGGCTTCACTGGCACGGAGAGTCACGTGGGGTTTGGATGGAGGGTGGTTTGGTCTCAGCTGGGCTTCAGAGGGTCCCTAAGGGACAGAGAAGACGACTCTTCTCCCTCAGCTGCCCTCCCCCATTAGGTGCACCTCGGGATCCTTGGGAGGACACTGTAAAGAGTCTCAGGCCATCTCTGTTGCTGTAACAAAATACCAAGACTGGGTAATTTATAAGGAAAGAAATGTTTTATTTCTTGTTTGGCATTGAGATAGGATGTTACTGTGTAGTCCAGGTTGGCTCATTGCATAGCTCAGGCTGGTCTCAGAACTCAGCAATCCTCCTGCCTCAGCCTTTGGAGTGCGGGGATCACAGGCGTATGTTATTTTGGTATTTTTGCCAGACACTACGGTGGGCATGCAGAGGCTTTCTGCCGGGCAAAGCGTTGCCTGTGACATCTGCCACTTTCCTCCAGGTCTACGGGCTGCTGGACGCCCTGGTGACCGACCTGATGGTGCTGGCTGATGAGCTCAGCCCCGTGAAGGATACTGAGGAACAGCTGTATGTCTAACTGCCTCAGCCGTGTGACCTCCTGGGTAACAGTGATGTCAATAAAGAATATTTAGTTTTCTAGAATTGTGCTGTGCCTGTGTGTTGGGTGCTGGGTGTCCATAGGGTCAGTCACTATCCAGGGTCCTCCTGGTGTCTGGAGCTGAGCCTACCTGGGCAGGTAATGGGAGATGGACCAGATGGACCAGGGGAAGAGCAAGGTGGTAGCAGGATGAGGAATGTGATCAGGCAACAGGGAGAGTCTGTCTCAAAATAAAACATAAAAAGGCAAGTTTCATCTGGGTTTCACCGCCAATTGTAAAAGAAAAGAAGAAAAATAGCCCCGGGTTTTTACTCCTTTCCTCTGCACAGCCCAGAGGACTGAGGTTGGGATAACAGTGTTGTGTACTCACACCCGGCTCAGAGCCGGCTCAGGTGACCCCACCCTGAACACTGGTGCAGGTTCCAAGATGGTGTAGAGGAGGTTGGGGAGGAGTCTGGAATCCCGAGGGGTTTCCTTTGGTATCTTTGTGGAACTCAGGTCCAAGAGACTCAGAGAGGGTGGTGCACTCCCTCCCTCCTGGTGCTGGAGAGGGGGAGTTGGTGTCCCCAGGTGGCTGGGAGGACCACACCCCTGTTTGGCAGGGCTTGGGGAGTGGGTGCAGGCTTTAGCTCTCCTCACCTCCTGGGTCCCAAAGCCGTGAGCCCAGGAAGCTGGCCCCGCCCCTCCTGCTGGCTATAGCAAGGGTTAACCACCCGCCGGGCTGCGTCCTCCTGTGTCCTGTTACTGCTGAGACAGACTTGCTGGGCCAGCTGAGCAACTTTCCTCCTGAGTGTCGCTTGCCTGCTGGTGTCTAGGAACTGACCGGGCTGAGGCAGAGCTGCAGCCCGTGGTGGGGGGCGGACCCTGCACTGCCCTGCTGAGGGTCTGCGCCCCTTGTGGATGGCTCTGGAGCTGCTGCCGAGGCCGTGCAGTCCCTCTGCTGCGTTGGTCTCAGGGTCTCTGCAGAGGCTGCTCGGGCCGGGGCCGGGGCCGGGGAGCCCACACTGGAGGTGAGCCACGCGACTGACACAGAGGAGGCTCGGGGCTTAGTCTCTTTCCAGGGGGCACCAGGGCTGGACAGGTCCAGGGAGGACCTGGAGGCTTTTTACCTGTGCCCCAAGGATCTGTGGTGGCATCTAGGACCTGCAGGGCTCTTTCCCTGCCGATGGCTGCAGGTCTAGCCTGGGGCGGCCTGGACACAGCTCCCCCCCTCCATGAGGGTGAAAGCCTGGGTCCTACAGGCAGCAGGATGGGCACTGCCACCCTCCCCCCTCACGCTGGACCTGCTGGGGACAGGATGAGGGACCCGTTGGGGAACAGGGGGTGCCACACAGAGGCTCTGGCAGACACGTGCACGTGACCAGCCAGATCTGGGTTCTCTTGCTGCCCCTCTGTACCTACACTGGGGTGCTGACTTTCAGGCTGAATCTTGCCAGTCCCCCCACCCTTGTCTTCCAGGACCTGAGAAGTTCTCCTTGGGACCCCAAGTGGAGGGAGAGAGCGCCTACTCTAACCCCCGTCCCCCAGTCCCCAGCCCCTGCCTTCTCCCAGCTCAGAATGGGCCTCGGGCTCCGGCTGCTCGGTGTCCTTCCGGTGCCCAGCAGGGTCCAGCTCAAGGTCACTGCGGTAATTCCATACAGCTGCCTGGGACTGCCGCAGCCACCTTATCGGCAGCGGGTTTGGGTTTCACAGCCTTTTATGCCTAAGCATATTGTGTTCGATAAAACCCTCGCTTGTAGCCCTGCTGGCAGGGCTCCCGCTGCTCTGCCTAGGCTGCTCCCGCCTGCCGCCTGCCTCTCCTCCCCCTGCCGGTCAGGGCCTCACCCGGGCACCCTCAGACGCAGGGTGAGAAGGTCAAGCCCCTCCCTCACCTCTGACCTCTCCCTTCCTGGCTCCTCAAAGGTGCGCTGAGAAAGCCCACCTGCTTCCCAGGGGTGAAGTCCAGGCGAGCTGGGTGCCTAGCTCTCTCCTGCAAAAGACAGCACTACCAGCCACCCGGGCCCCAGCCACCTGGCCTGCCGGGGAGGAGGGCAGTCGGGCCAGGGCGGCTCTGGTGAAGTTGGGAGGCCCGACTGGTTCTGCTGGTTCCGGTGGCCAGCAGGGAGGGGCATGCACTGGGGCGGGCTTCCCGTACAATTATTTCCCTCTCACTCTGCCACCACCAGCCCGCCCACCGCCTGCCCCTGGGAGGTGAAGGCAGGTCTGAGTCACGGCCAGGGGGGAGGGCAGGAGTTAAACTAGTTGTGGCTGTGGCATCGCCACAGAGGGCCTGCTACTGGCTGGACGGAAAGACAGACAGCAGATAGAAGGAAGGTAGGCAGCTCCAAGCTGGGCGCCCCCATCTCCCCCATCCTGGGCGCCCCCATCTCCCCCATCCTGGGTTCCTGTGCAGGAGCCTCTGGGCTAGGCTGGGACCTGCTGAGGCCTGCAGGGGGGCCCCTTTGAACTGAGTCCCAGGCTGGCGTCATTGTGGTGGAAGGACAGGACGGGATCTTTGGGGGCCCGGGGTCGGGAGCAGCCTGCTTCTGCCTCCTGCCTCTGACAACCTGAGAACTTGAAGGAGACTCAGCCAGGGTGGGGTGATGCCAGAAGGTGCCATGGCCCTGGGCATTGGGGGTGTCACTCCCTGAGGCCCCAGCCAGTGAGGTCACACTGGTGCCATGCAGATATGGGGTCACTGAGAGGCTCAAGGGAGGACTTGTCTCGGTCCTGGTCCTGAGGCCACGGGGACTGGACGTCCCCTGGTCCCTGTCCTCCCTCTGCTAAGCTATCCGAGGCCTCTGCACGACTGGGACTTGGGGCTGTGGGGAGCCGGGTCTCCCCATCCTTGTGGAGCTTCTGTTTTGGTTGTGAAGTTAGACTGAGAAAATAATCAGATTAGTTGATTACCAAGGTGGATGACAGCTATGATAAGAATTGGATTGGTCTTTTGGAGGCCTAGGTGTCCGTCCCAGCCCTTCCACCTACAGGCTGTGTGACACTGACAGTTCGCGTCCCCTCTGTGCTCTGGTGGGTGTGGGGGTGGCCCAGGGGTGGCAGCTAGGTGTCTGTGACAGCCAGCTTCCCGCGGACGCCTGCCCTCTGCTCCTGTTGGCTCATATCCTTCCCCCACTGCTGGTTCCTTCCTCCTCCTCCCCATTCCCCAGGCCTCCAGCTTCCTTTCACCCAGCGCCACCTCTGGGATGTTCTCTCCTGAACTCCCTCGCCCGGGTCTTCTGTACCCCTGGGCAGGACTGGATGTGGGCTGGCCAGCCGTGTGTCCTGGGCCTGGCGTCATGCCCAGCTCAGGAAAGGCCTCCAGGAAATAGGTGTCGAGTCTCCATCGCACTACAAACATTAGCTGTAGGAGAGAAGAGAAGCCGGAAAGGTCAACAGCTGGCTGGAGCTTGGCAGGATCACAGAGGGAGGCAAACGGGAATGGAGTGGGCAAGGGGCATCATCCCCAGCAGTCACATTAGGGTCCTGGCTGAGGCCACGTGTCTGGGAGTGGGGGTTCCTGGGGCATCCCGGCCCTCACACCTGCTCTGTGGTCTTGCACAAGCCCTTGCTTCCTCTGCTGAGCCCCATACCCGTCGTGACTGGTGACAGTGAGAAAAGCATCTTTGGGGGCTTGCCTGGCTAGAAGTGCTTGCTGAATAGTAAACAACATAAGACAAAGGTGTGGTGGCACATGCCTGTCATCCTGGTTTCCGGGAGGCTGAGGCAGGAGGCTCAGACTCACTGTGAGTCTGAAGCCAACCTGGGCTCCATAGTAAGTTCAAGGCCAGCCTGCACTACACAGCAAGACCCTACCTTAAACAGAAAAAGGAAAGGCAAACGGGAGAGTCTGTGGAACGTGGTTCCCAGCAGCAGGGACCCTGCTGGCCAGGCCGCAGTCAGTCTGTGGCCCAGGGACAGCCCAGTGGGCCGCCATCCCTGATTTCTGATGTTCTCTCGCCCTCAGTCCCATGTGGAGACCGCAGACACGGCCGCCCTGCTGAGTGCACGGCGGCCCACCCTTCAGGACAGTGACCTCTCGAAGGTGGCCCTCGGCCCTCCAGCTCCGGTGGGGGCGGGGGCCGCCCACCCCCAAGTCCCCAGCCATGACCACCTCTGCGCTGCGACGCCAGGTGAAGAACATTGTGCACAACTACTCGGAGGCGGAGATCAAGGTGCGGGAGGCCACCAGCAATGACCCCTGGGGCCCACCCAGCTCACTCATGGCGGAGATCGCCGATCTGACCTTCCACACGGTGGCCTTCGCCGAGGTCATGGGCATGCTGTGGCGGCGGCTCAATGACAGCGGTAAGAACTGGCGGCACGTGTACAAGGCGCTCACGCTGCTGGATTACCTGCTCAAGACGGGCTCGGAGCGTGTGGCCCACCAGTGCCGCGAGAACCTCTACACCATCCAGACGCTGAGGGACTTCCAGTACGTGGACCGCGACGGCAAGGACCAGGGCGTCAACGTGCGTGAGAAGGTCAAGCAGGTCATGGCTCTGCTCCGGGACGAGGAGCGGCTGCGGCAGGAGCGCACACTCGCCCTAAAGACCAAGGAGCGCATGGCGCTGGAGGGCGCGGGCATTGGCAGCGGGCAGCTGGGCTTCCCTCGGGGCTCCCCGTCCTCCTACCACTGTGAGTGATCCCCCTAAGCTGTGTAGCCAGGACGGGGAGGGGACCCGAGTACCAGGCTGCCTCTGTGGCTCTGGGCCGTGGTTAACAGCTGGAAGACTCAGACACAGTGTCTGGTGCATCCTAGGTCCTCAGCAAATCACCCGCAGGAAAATGTCGTTGGGTGTGTGGTTGCTGCTCCTTAGCTGTTCATTTATTTTTGAGACAGGGTCTCACCCTGTAGTTCAGGCTGGCTTTGAACCCACGATGTAGCCCAGGCTGGTCTTGTCTGTGCAGAGATCCTCCTGTCTCGGCCTCCTGAGTACTAGGATTACAAGACTGCACCACCATGCCTGGTTGCTAATTAGCTGTTTAGAGGATGGTATGGTGGCAGAAGCTCAGGCTCTGGAATCCTGTCCCCTTTATTATGTCCACTCCAAGCTATGCAACCCAAGCAACCAGTAATCAGAACTTCAGTCTCCCCCTCTGTAGAACGGGGATGACCTTGTCTTCCCTCTGAGCAATAAATGACCTGATCCAAGGACTTCTATGACTCCTTCCCTGGATGTGGAGAATTTTCCTTGGTCCCCCATTTCAGGGCACTGCCCTTGAAATAGAGGCAACTGCTGGGCTGCGCCTGGCTGTTTCCCCAGCGGTGAGGGCTCCCCCAGCCTGAGGACCCCCAGAACTGCCGGTCCACAAAGCCCTTGGCAGCTTGTTGAGGGCCCTGAGGCTGTCACCTTGTTGGATCAGAAGTTCCTCCCTTTGGCCCCAAGCATGCTTGAACCCAGAGTGCGCCTGGGTTCAAGTCTAGCGGCTTCTGTGCTGCTGCCCCTGCCAAGGAGCCCTGGGCTCTGCAGCCCCATGTGGTGGGGATCTAATAGGAGGACCCTGACCCACTGCCTGGCTCACTGCATCCTGGATGCTTCCCGTTGCCTCAGTTTCCCTCTCCGAGCCTCAGACCCTGGCGGGCGGGGGGATCTGGGGGCCTGAGGGCACTGGCCTGGTCACAGTGGCCGTGATGGTTGTTGCAGCTGCCACCTCATCTCCCCGCTACGCCTCGGACCTGGAGCAGGCGCGGCCCCAGACATCTGGGGAAGAGGAGCTGCAGCTGCAGCTGGCCCTAGCCATGAGCCGCGAGGAGGCCGAGAAGGTGAGGCCCGCACCCCGCAGCCCAGGCGCAGGCCCCCCTACTGGGCCTGAAGCCCTCTGGGGCTTCCAAGGACAGCACAGGCCCTGTCTGTGTCCTGGGCCTGTCCCAGGTGGGGGCTGACCCAGGAAAGAGCCCTGCAGGGCTGGGGTGCCAGTGCAGCCGAGCGGTGTCGCCATGGTGTGGGAGGGCCAGAAGCTGGTGGACACGTTCCTAGGAAGTTCGGGCTGTCCTGTTAGGACCCCTGACTCCTACTGCTTCCTCACCATCTGCTCCTCCTCCTCCTTCTTCCTTTTTCTTTCCTTTCCCTTTCTGTCCTGGAATCGATTTCAGGGCCTTTGCACTAAGCCACATCCTTGTCCCTTTTGAGGCAAGGTCTTGCTTTGTTGTCCATGCTGGGCTCCGACTTGCAGTCCTCCTGCCTCAGCCTCCCAGAGGGCCGGGGCTCCAGGGGTGATTTGACATCACCTTCTTTGCTACGACCTCTGTGGATCTGGGCGGACAGGGCAGGAAGCAGTGGGCCCTCCCATGGCAGCACTGGGGGAGCTCTGGGGGCACCCAGAAGACAGAGATCAGCTTCCTTGGGCTGCTTCTGAGAAAGCAGGAACGAGGCCACTGCCCACCCCTACATGTGGGGCATTTTTGTCTCTCCATCCGTGTCCCCTGGCAGGGGTATGCTGGCCGAGGGCTGTGCTGGCCACGTTCACCCCCGTCTTCCTTCTCACAGCCGGTCCCCCCAGCCTCCCACAGGGACGAAGACCTGCAGCTGCAGCTGGCCCTGCGCCTGAGCCGGCAGGAGCACGAGAAGGTAGCCTGCGGGCCAGGCTGGCCCGGCGCAGGTGCTGGTGGCGGTGCTGCTGTGCTGAGGGCACTAACCGGCTTTTTCTCTGCTGCTCTAACCTTGGTGCCTCCCTCCCACCGTCTCCGGCCAGCCCGGGCACTCAGGTCCCCCTGAGTCCAGCTGGGCCGCTCACGCCCCTCTTCTGTGCTTCCTGCAGGAAGTGAGGTCCTGGCAAGAACAGGACTCTCCAGTGGCCAACGGTCCAGGGGCCGCTACTCGACGTCGGAGGGACAGGGAGCCCGGGAGAGAGGAGAAAAAGGAGGAAGAGAAGCTGAAAACCAGCCAGGTAGGGAGGGGCAGCGCGGCCCAGCAGGCGGGGAGGCAATGGAGTCACACAGCAGCACAGGGGAAGTGACCCTCATTCACTAAGGAAAACAGGCAACAACGTGCACCTAGCAGCCCCTGCTCCCAGGCTGTGCCGGCTGCCACTGGGCTAACAGCAAAGCAGGAGGCCGTGAAAGCATCCTGGTCCAGACCCTGCATGGGCTACCTGTTTGAGCTACCAATTTTGTAGCATCACTGTCCCGGCCTCAGTTTCTCCTCCTGCACAGTGGGCATCTGGGGACAGCTCCAGCTGCAACACCTTAGATTCTGGGAGACCAAATGGAGACCAAGGCTCAGGTCAGAGATTCAGCACTGAAAACATCTCGGGCTTGCAAGCAAGGCCACCCATCCGGGCTCTGTCCCCCTCCTCACTGTGGCCAAGTTCTTGGACACTGAGCTACGGCTAAAGGCTCGCTGTATAATCTCCACGCTGGTCCTTCCTTGCTGGCCTGGGTTCTGGTCCAGCTTGGCATCTCCTGGAAAATTATTGCCCTCTCTGGGCTTCAAGCGCTCAGCTCTAAATAGGTCAGCACTGCCCTCCCTTGCCCATGGGGTTCCTAGAACAGTCAGGAACTCAGGGATGAGGAAGCATTTTATGACCTGGGAGCACGGCACGGAGGCCACAGGTCACAGAGGGACGATAGCAGGATGAATAAAGGCTGGAAGTGGCTGGCGGGTCAGGGGCCAGCCTCCCTCTGGGCCCACCTGCTTCTCATCCGAGGCTGCCTCTTCCCCTGCAGTCCTCCCTCCTGGACTTGGCTGACATCTTTGTACCTGCCCCAGCGCCCTCCTCCACACACTGCTCTGCCGACCCGTGGGACATTCCTAGTGGGCACACAGGTGGGTGACAAGGGCCCTTCCCTTCCCCACTGTCAGCTGGCAAACCGCCTCGCCTGCTGGCTGAGAGTCCCCTAACCTGGGGCACAGGGACAGCAGATATCTGTCACCTACACTCAGGCAGCCCTGCGCCGATGGGGAAGGTGGCCCACGATGCCCGGGCCGGGTGGTGGCAGTGGGTCTGGGCTGATGATAGGACCTGCCGAGCACGGGGTCTAGCTCACTGAGTGTCCGGCGTCAGCACCCCAGCTGTGACAAGAACCACATGCCTTCCCCTGTGGCCTGGGGAGCTGCCAAGGGCCCTGGATGAGAGCTGCGGGGGCCTGGATCACATCTGCGTCCCTCCCACTCCAGGTCTCAGGCCGAGCGCAGAGCCCAGCGGCTCCTCCTGGGGACCTTCTGCAGACCCCTGGTCTCCAGTCCCCTCCAGAAATGTCCTGTCCCGAAGCCAGCCTTGGGACTTGCTTCCCACTCTCTCCTCCTCAGAGCCCTGGGGCAGGACCCCAGTGCTGCCTGCTGGACCCCCTGCCACGGACCCCTGGGCACCAAACTCTCCCCACCACAAACTCTCCAGCACTGGGGCTGACCCTTGGGGCGCTTCCAAGGAGCCCTTGGACACACCTGGTAAGTGGAGGCAGAAGGTGCTGGAAGAGGCTGGGGACTTCTGGGTCCCCTCTCCCCAGGGCTGTGAGGGCAGCAGAGGCTGTTTTTAAGGGGATCAAGTTCCTTGGGGGATCCAGTCAATGCCTGCCCTATTCACAGATCTTCTCTCTCCTCTGCCAGCTGTAGGTGGTGTCTCAACCTTCGACCCCTTTGCCAAAACCCCAGAATCCACAGAGACCAAGGCAGAGCTGCAGGGTGCCCAGGTTGCGCCCTCTGGGAAGCCCGGCAGCCCTGTGGGTGAGCAGAAAGCCAGAGATACTGAGATTCTGGGAGCAGGGGACCTCAGGCCAGCCTCTGCTCTCTGCCTTTCCAGACTCTATTTTGTTGCTAACAGATCTGGACCTGTTCGGAGAGCCCAGCCCCAGTTCCAAGCAGAATGGCACAAAGGAGCCTGACACCTTTGATCTGGGGGTGCTGGAGGATGCACTGTCACCTGCACCTCCAAGTAAAGAGACCCCTGCACGTCGCACTCCAGAGTCCTTCCTGGGTCCCTCGGCCTCCTCCCTGGTCAACCTTGATTCACTAGTCAAGGCGCCACAGGCTGCAAAAACCAGGAACCCCTTCCTGACAGGTAGGCTGGTCCCTGGGCACCTGGCATAGTGTTCTCTCTGGTCCTCTCTGAACCCTAGAATCTGACTGTTCCACCATCCTACCCTCACCCCTCCCGCAGGTCTGAGCACTCCATCCTCCACCAACCCATTTGGTGCGGGTGAGCAGATTGCACCCACCCTGAACCAGATGCGCACCGCGTCGCCTGTGCCCATCGCGTCCATCGGAGCACCCCTGGGTTCCATGACCTACAGCGCCTCCCTGCCCCTTCCGCTCAGCAGCGTCCCAGTTGGCAGGACCCTCCCTGCCTCCGCCAGTGCATTTCCTCAAGCCAGTGCCTTTGCCCCACTGGTCCCGAGCCTGCCGCCGCCGCCGCTGCCCATGTCCAGCTCGGCTGGGCCACTGGATGCATCCCGGCAGGCAGGCACCAACCCCTTCCTTTGATTGCCTCGATGGCTATGGCGCTGAGGCCCCGCCCCTTAGGGCCTGGCCGGGCGCTTGTGCAGATTGCGCACTAATTGGGTTTCCGTGGATCACTGACAGCTCGTGAAGCTAGAGATGGACCTCTTCGTGGGACAGCCTCACAATAAAGACTGGAACCAGGGTCCCCAGCTTTCACCAACTGGACTTTTTGCCAGGTGTGGCAGCTGGGTCTGGACCACAGCACCAATCACCCGCTGTGGAAGAAATGTGCAAAAACACTCCGGTTTCCCTTACAGTGCCATCCCAGCTCCTACCAGCCTGGCACTTCCGTTTCCAGATGTTCCCTGGTTGTGGCTCATTCGTTACTTACAGGCACTGGGGATGGTCTGACAGCCAGGGAGAGCAAGGACTTGTTTTATAATACTGCACACTCGTTAGTGGGCTAAGCACTTTAGGCAGAAAACTGTTTAATCACGGCACTGGGGTTAATAATCCTATTGCATCCAGCAGGCCCAGCCACAGAATTTGTTGTATCCAGAGCAAAATGCAAACGCAAGGCTTCTGGCTCAAAATTGGATCAAGATTTTTTTAAAAAAACTTTTTCGAGACAGGTTCTCATATTGTAGTTTAGGTTGGTCTTGAACTATGTAGCCCAGGCTGGCCTCCAAACCGCAGCGACCCTCCTGCCTCAGTCTTCCAAATCCTGGGATTACGGGTGTGCCACACTATGCCCCCAGCCCTACGAATTTCAAAACAAGGCAACAGAACATGAGGGCAATTGCACTGGTCTCCCTTGTGGCTGCCATTTATAGAAGAGGTTGAGAGACATGCTCCAAGTGACAAAGGAACAAAACTAGGATGCTGAGGGTTGGGGCTTCCGAGTCCAGTCCGGCAGTCTGGTGCCGCAGCCTGGAGCTCCTGGACTGGGCCCCAGGCTTAATTGAGCATATTGATGCACTGCTGTGTATAAAGTGCTGGGCTGTGAGGGGCCCAAGAACTGCTGAGCTCGGTGGATACAGGAGGCCAGGCAGGCTGCCTCACAGGACAGAGCCCAGCCCGGAGTCCCCTGCTGTTTGTGCCACTGAGTCATTGTGATTCAGTGAGCTCCCTGCCACCTTCTCCTGGGCCCCACTGGCAAATCAGCAGCTGCAGCCCTCGCTGTGAGGCTGTGAGACTGAACCCTCCCAGGCGCAGGCAGAGTTTACAGAGGCAAAGGTGGGCCGAGCCTGCTACACCCTCCGTTCTCCCTGAGCGGCTCCCCAGTCACTGTCACTCACTGCTAACGATGTCCCTATCACTAATGGGTCCTCATTCTCAGGGATCAGCCCCGCAGGTACCTGCTTCTCCCCCCATTCCCTTTGGGGGCCAGAAATACCAGGGCTGGGGCTGCTGTGCACGGGCTGGACAACGGAGTCTCCTGAGGAATCAGACCCAAAGGCTCAAAACTGCTCTGTAGTTGGGTTTCATGAAAAAACCTGCTTTGTTAAGTGGCTATTCAGCCTGACCGCCAGTAAATCACTTCGCCTCGGTGTTCGTGCCTCTGTTACCTTGCTTGTCAAGTGGGACCAGGGGTCCCTTCCCCATGGGGCTGTGTGGCCAGTGGCCCTTTCACCTATGACTCACCTCCCTCAGACTCTCAGCAAGAGCCTGCCCTGCCCCCGTTCCTGGCTTGGCCAGGTGGCACCCAGAGTCCAGTTCACATCTGTCTTCCACTGCACCCCAAGGGGGAAGGTGCCCTCTTCCCAGGTTCCAGACCCAGCTCTCCCTAGAGATGTTCCAGTCTGTGGCATTTCCTGATCCCTGAAGCCAGTTCTGGTCACCCTTGTCCTCTTAACGGGTGGCCTGCAGCCTGCCCTGCACACCTCATTCTTGGAGTGCTTTCCTCTGGGCTCCAGACTTCTTGCCAGCTCTTCCCGGATTCCACGTGACTCCCTTACCCAAGAGGATGCCCTGGCTCCCCTTGACCTCTCATTTGCCCTCTCCATGGTCACCTGTGAGGCTTGGCATCAGCCCAGATTCCTCCCACTCCAAGCAGGCTTCCTGTTTCCCATCTGAACTTCATTGCTTCAGGCTGGCGTCTCCCCTGTCATTGAGTGCCCTCCACCTCCTCTCCCTGTCCAGTGGGACAGTGTCTGCTCTTCTCAGCCTGGTTTATCACTTGTTTTCTCTTTGCTGTTGTCTCTAACTCCAGCTTGCTCATGTGTCTCAGGACCTTTGCATATACTGTTCCTTCTGGCTGCTTCTCCAACATTCACCCCATACTCTTTCCACATTTCCTCCATTCCTCTGTGTCACAAATGTGACCTCTGGAAAGTCTTCCCCTTTGTCCTGCCAGCTCCTGTCATTAACCCATGCACTGTACTTGTCAGGAGGTGGCTGAATATATACATACAGGTGTGTGGCTGTAGGATTCAGTGCCTGCAGGGTCAGGCAGTAGGCACTCGGTACATCTGGGCAGATGCACAGGCAGGATTTCCTGGCTGCGCCACACTGTTCCCAGACAGCTCCCCCTGGGTGCTGGGGTTTGGGCAGGCTGAGCCAAGCAGTTTGCTCACGTGGGTGAATCTGACCAACACGTTGGGCTCGTGCCTTATTTTGCAATTTTAAAGGGAGAAAAATTCTCACATGGCGAGTGGAGGCTTTGAAATCTCAGGGCTCCAGCCTCCCACAGCTTTCCGGGGTGAGTGGGGGTCAGCGGATTGCGCTTGGTTTTGTGCACAGGATGGATCCTTCAAAACCCGAGCTGTCTCCCGTGCAGTTCCTCACTCGGCCGCCGGGCGGCGCTCGGAGACCAGCCACGCGGTGCGGCCCGGCCCGGAGCCCCGAGTCCGCGGCCGTAGGGAAGCCATGCTGTGCGCCGGCCTGGCTAGGCTGCTGCCTTCTGCAAGCCCGGGGCGAGTTAGGCCGAGCTGTGAGCTGGAGGTACGAGCGGGGTACCATCCCCCCAACCCCAGCGCTGGCCCGCAGTGCCTGCTCTGGTCAGCCCCTGCATGCTCGCGTCCACCCTGCACCCCGCTGCCTGCCTGAACCCCCAGCAAAACCTCTCCCTGCGGACCCCCTCCCTCCAGCTGCACAGGTAGCCCAGGAGCTGTGCTGACACTGCACCCAGGAAGCCCTTCCGGAGCCCAATGCTGGGCCACGGCCCCTCCCGAGCAGCACCACACCCCACCGGGTTCCAGGCTCCCAGTCCTGTGGCAGTTGTGTGGCCTGCAGTACCGGGGATGGAACACAGGGCTTTGGCACTGAGCTACACCCCAGCGCTTCTTTATTTATTTTGAGACATAGTCTAGGTGAGTCGGTAAATTGCCAGGACTTGGGCATGAGCTTGCAATCCTCCTGCCTCAGCCTCCCAGCGTACCGGGATGACGATGCCTGTCTGGGCCTGTCATTATTTGGGTCCGTCCTCAGCACTGCTCTCCCAAGCTGAGCCCCTGCTGAGGGTGTTTTTGATCCCCTGGGCATCCCACAGGTCTGGCTGGGGACCTGGCCCTGCATGCTGCTTGGCAGGTGAGTCTCGGCAAGAAGTCCTGCTGTCACTTTTCCTCTGGTTGCCTGCCATAGTCCAATCCCAGACCCAAGTCTTCTTGACCAGCCTGGCCACCAAAGGTGCCCCACTCCTCCTTGCCAGGGATCCCTGGGGGAGGGGCCCAGCCAAGGGCATGGAACAGAGCTGAAGCACCATTCTGCCCATTGTGACCCGGCCTCACTTTGGTCACCCTCTGCCTGTCGGGTCTCAGAGGCTGGGGGAGACGAACCTGGCAGGGAGCCCACAATGAGCCACTCTTCCTCACCACCCCCCAAACACAAGGGGGGGCACAAAAGCAGAGGTCTCCCCCATGGTTCAGAAAGGTAAGTTGCACAGGGGTCCCGGGGCCTGCATGGTGGGCGTGGGGGACATGCGGGGAGCCATCACCTGCCTGACCCACCTGCCCACACCAGGGGCAGCTCCTCCCGGGACAAGGACCGTAGCTCGACAGTCAGCAGCTCCGTGTCCATGCCTGCTGGAGGGAAGGGAAACCGGTCCAGCAGTGCCATCAACACAACCCAGAAGACCCCCAACCGCTTGATCAATGAGAAGTCCCCATACCTCCTGCAACATGCCTACAACCCTGTGGACTGGTGCGTGCCTCCCCAAAGCAGCGGGGAGTGGGGAGGGTCAGCCCCTCCTCAACCTCACACCCCGACTCCTGAGCCCTGTGGCATCTTGCTGGGCCTAGGTACTCCTGGGGACAGGAAGCCTTCGACAAGGCCAAGAAAGAAAACAAGCCCATCTTCCTCTCAGGTGAATGGGGGGCCGGGCAGTGGTGGTGGGAAGCCGGGGAGGTGGCCTGAAGTCAGGGTCACCTCCATTCCAGTGGGGTACTCCACCTGCCACTGGTGCCACATGATGGAGGAAGAGACCTTCCAGAACGAGGAGATCGCCCGTCTGCTCAATGAGGACTTTGTCAGCGTGAAGGTGGACCGAGAGGAGCGGCCGGACGTGGACAAAGTTTACATGACCTTCGTGCAGGTGAGCCCTGCTCCGGCCCCTGTGCAGAGGCACCTGTGGGGCGGCCGGCCTCACCCTGGCTCTGTCTCCTCAGGCTACCAGCAGCGGTGGGGGTTGGCCCATGAATGTGTGGCTCACCCCCAGCCTCCAGCCCTTTGTGGGGGGCACCTACTTCCCCCCCGAGGACGGCCTGACCCGCGTGGGCTTCCGCACGGTGCTGTTGAGGATTAGGGATCAGGTGGGTGCACGGGCGGGAGGTGCTGGGGTCAGAATGAGGGAGCGAGGGGTTCCCCACGGTGCTGACCTCAGGAAACCCCCCACCCTACCCCGCAGTGGAAGCAGAACAAGAACACCCTGCTGGACAGCAGCCAGCGTGTCACCACGGCCCTGCTGGCCCGTTCCGAGATCAGCATGGGTGACCGCCAGATGCCGCCCACGGCCGCCACCATGAGCAGCCGCTGCTTCCAGCAGCTGGACGAGGGCTACGACGAGGAATACGGTGGCTTCGCGGAGGCTCCCAAGTTCCCCACCCCAGGTCAGCACCCCCCAGCCCCCTCAACAAGACCTGGTCTGCTGACCCTGGCCTGGTTCATGTTACAGTCTTTGTCAGTAGCTTTCTGTTCCCCTGTGGCCTGGTGATTTTTTTTTTTGGTAACCCAAAGCCCTCACACAGAGTTCTACCCCCAGCCCTTTTTATTTTTGAGACAGGGTTTTACTAAATTGCTAAATTGTCCAGACTGTGTTCAAACTTTGGACCCTCCTGCCTCAGCCTCCCAGAGTGCTGGAGTTACGGGAGTACACCACTGTGTGCAGCTCTGACGGTGTTCACCGCCTGGCTAGGGTGGTGACCTTAGGACCTCTGGGCTGACTGTTGGCCTCCTGACCACAGCCTGGCCAGGGGCCGTGTGTTGGGTAAACCCGAGCCCCGCCTCTCCTCATCCTCCCCTCACGTTGTTGGCAGTGATCCTGAGCTTCCTGTTCTCCTACTGGCTTGGCCACCGCATGGCCCAGGATGGCTCTCGGGCCCAGCAGATGGCCTTACACACCCTGAAAATGATGGCCAACGGGGGCATCCGGGACCATGTGGGACAGGTGAGGGGGGCGGTGGAGTTGGGGTGCGGTGGAGGCGTGGGGTGGGGAAGGAGGCCGGGATCCACCTCCAGCCCGGGTCCGCCTGCCGCAGGGCTTTCACCGCTACTCCACCGACCGCCAGTGGCAAGTCCCCCACTTCGAGAAGATGCTCTACGACCAGGGGCAGCTTGCTGTGTCCTACTCCCAGGCCTTCCAGGTCACGCCCTAGCCCAGCCTGGCCTCCCTGGCCTCCCAACCCCTCCCATACGCCACTCCCCACCCCAGACCCCTCCACCTTCCCGGGACAACCTCACACCCACGAATCTGGGCCACTCCGTGGCCTCCGTTCACAGCCTCCTTCCCCAAACCCAGATCTCCGGAGATGAATTCTACTCTGATGTTGCCAAAGGCATCCTGCAGTATGTTAGCCGGAGTCTGAGCCACCGGGTATGTCCACTGAGGCAGGCGGCCCTGGCTGCGGGAGGGCCCAGGCCTTCCCTGCCTGTGACAGGGCCTGATGACTGTCCCTCCCGCAGTCTGGTGGCTTCTACAGCGCTGAGGATGCAGATTCGCCCCCAGAGCGGGGCATGCGGCCCAAGGAGGGCGCATTCTATGTGTGGACAGTCAAGGAGGTCCAGCGTCTCCTCCCAGAGGCTGTGCCAGGCGCCACAGAGCCGCTGACCGCAGGCCAGCTCCTCATCAAGCACTACGGGCTCACAGAGACGGGCAACATCAACACCTGTCAGGTGCGGGACTCTGGGGCTTCCTGGAGGGGACTGCGGGCCACCAGGCATACGTGGGCTCCTCGGACGAGAGCTGTGATCCCCAGGACTCCAAGGGGGAACTGCATGGCCAGAACGTGCTGACTGTCCGTTACTCACTGGAGCTGACCGCTGCCCGCTTCGGCCTGGAGGTGGAGGCTGTGCGGAGCCTGCTCACAGCAGGAGTGGACAAACTCCTCCAGGCCCGGAAGCAGCGGCCGAAGCCGCACCTGGACAGCAAGATGCTGGCTGCTTGGAATGGTGAGACCGCCCTGGCTGAGGCCTCTTCCCGTGGGCAGTGTTTCCCTTCACCACTTTCTTCATGCCTGTCGGGCTAAGCACAGGTTCTTTACTATGTTTGTTATCCTTAGTTAATTATGATTATCATAATCACCATTTTGAGGACCTCATTTTGAGGCTCAGGCTGGCCTTGAGCTCACAGTGACCTCCTACCTCAGCCTTCTGGGTGCTGGGATTACAGGCATATACCACAATGCCAGCCATTATCTTTGACTTATAAATGAGCAAATGGAGACCAGAGGACCCTGCTAAGTAACCTGCTGAGCTCATGCCTGGTGCTGGAGCCCGAGATCCAGAAAGGTGGAGATGGAATGAGCAGCTCTGGAGGCCCCTGGCCTCTTGTCACCCACCCCTCTGGCCACTGTCCTTCCCTCCCTCCAGGCCTGATGGTTTCTGGCTACGCCGTGACCGGGGCTGTCCTTGGCATAGACAAGCTGGTCCACTCTGCCACCAACTGTGCCAAGTTCCTCAAGAGGCACATGTTTGACGTGGCCACTGGCCGCCTGAGGCGGACCTGCTACGCTGGCACCGGGACCACTGTGGAGCATAGGTGGGCAGCTGGACCCTCTGCTAGCCTCTTGTCCTAGCCCACTCCCAGCCTGCACTGGGCAGTGTGTCCATCGTGAGAGGGTAGCCTTGCTGGGCCCTTTTACACTGGCTGAGGAAGAGGTGGTTTTTGAGGATTCAGGGGAAGTTGGGCCGACCCTAGCCTCTTTCCTGTTGCCTGTGCCTCCTAGAGACCCGCCCTGCTGGGGCTTCCTGGAGGACTACGCCTTCGTCGTGCGGGGCCTGCTGGATCTGTACGAGGCCTCACAAGAGAGTGCATGGCTGGAATGGGCCCTGCGGCTACAGGATGCACAAGACAGGCTCTTTTGGGACTCCCAGGGCGGTGGCTACTTCTGCAGTGAGGCCGAGCTGGGGGGCAGCCTGCCCCTGCGGGTGAAGGATGGTCAGTGTGGGCATCGGCTGCTGGGGTCCTGAGCCAGCTGGGACCTGGCTTCCCTAAGAGGGCTGGTGACATCTTGTACCCGTGCGGCCCTAGGGGTCTCCTGATATTGCTCAGCCTCTCTCTTATGCAAAAGGGACCTGAGGCTGGTGCTGGCTGAGGGGGCATTGGAAGATGAATCTAGTGGCCGCCACCATGTTTAGGCACTAACGAGGTTCACTCAGTTGGGAATGATGCAGGCACCCATGTGCCACATGTAGTTACCATGGGGTGAGGCCAGGCGGAAGTAGTCCAATGCCAAGTGCCAGGCATGGTAGTGCCAGCGAGAGACTGAGGCAGGGACGATCACATGCTCAGGGGCAGCTTGGGCTACACAGTGAGTCTGAGGCCAGGCTGGACTATGTACATAGTAAGATCCTGTTTCAAAAAACCAAAGGGAAAGAATAAAATGAAACTAAAGGCTGTTGGAAGCCAGACGTGGTGCACACCTGTAATCCTACTACTCTAGGAGGCTGAGGCAAGAGGATCACAATGTTTGAGTCCAGCCTAGGCAACTTACTGAATTGACAAGACTATGTCTCAAAATAAAAAAGTAGCTAAATGCAGAGTTCCTCAAAGAAAACAAAAGCCCTGGACCATGAGCCCCTTTGCTGCCTATGTTCGGTCTGTTATTAACATCACCTCAGAGCGCAGGACTCACATTTTAGCACTCAAAGGAAGATTCTTCTGTCACTGCTATGTCCCCAACCTCCAGGGCAGTCCTGGCACATGGTGGATGCTCAACAGTTGCTCGATGAATTCTGGAAGGCTCTTGGGAGAAAAGTTTGATAGCACATGTGACAAATGCCATTACCGAGACCAGTGTGGTCATTGGTGAGCTGTGGAGGAAGCATAGAAGCCTAGAGCAGGCAGTCTGCGGCCTGCGAGAGGGGCTGCTGGGCCCCGAGGCTGGCGCTGAGCCGCTGTGACCTGCCCTGCTGTCTCAGGCCCCTCTGAGCAGTGCTGGAGAAGGACATGGCAGGAGACAGGGTGAGCCGCGAGGGGGCCGATCGCAGGTGCCGTGCGGGCGGGACCTGCTGCTGTTTTTTGTGGCTGCACTCAGAGTGTGGACAGAAGGCCGGAAGGGAAGTGCCACACTGGCCAAGGCAATGGGTGCTGGAGAGGATCGGCTGTGGGCTCGGGAGCCTGAGCTGGCCATGAAGGAGCCAGGGACCCTGTCTTGCTGACCCTGCCCCCTTCCCTGCCCTGCAGACCAGGATGGTGCAGAGCCCAGCGCCAACTCGGTGGCAGCCCACAACCTGCTGCGGCTGCACGGCTTCACTGGCCACAAGGACTGGCTGGACAAGTGCGCATGCCTGCTGACCGCATTCTCCGAGCGCATGCGCCGTGTGCCCGTGGCGCTGCCTGAGATGGTCCGTGCCCTCTCTGCCCACCAGCAGGGCCTCAAGCAGGTAGGGTGGCGGGGTGGTGGGGTGACAGGATGGAGGGGCCTCAGTGGGAATGGCGTCGTGGGCAGGGCTCCAGGGCTGTCCTCACTTTTGTTCAGGTGCCCGGGAGGCGGGAGTGTGGGAGGTGCCCGCCTGAGCACTGTCCCTGGGCTGCCACAGTATGGGGGAAGGCTGAAGGGGCTAAATATGGGTCCCTGCTCCTCCATGAAGCTCTGTGTATCAGCCTGATTATTTCTGTCCTGTGTGCGAAACCACGGAGGTGTCAGGGTTTGTGTGCCTGCCTTTCCGCTTGTGTACAGGGCGCCTGCCTGTCACATGGGTGCCCAGCTTCCGGTCGGCCTGCTTCCGTGCTTCCGTGCCTGTCTGCCTCAGTGGGTGCGTGTGTGGACATATGATGGGTGTGCAGCGCCTGCTGAGCACACGCCTGCCTGCATGTGGATGTGTCATGCGTCTCACAATATATTAGGCCTTCCCCTCACAGCAGTGTCGCTGCGTGACACTGCACAGGCATGGTCTCCTGCGAGTATGCCTGCGTGTTTCTGCTGGCCACACATCACATCCCGTGTGGCCTCTGGGCGCTGTCTCTCTCTGTTCCTTCTCAGGGACATGGGGCAGGTGCAGGGATGCTGAGGAAATCCTTGGGTCCCCTTCCACCTCAAGAGAACCTTTCTGTTCCGGCCAGATCGTGATCTGCGGAGAGCGCACAGCCAAGGACACCAGGGCTCTGCTGCAGTGTGTGCACGCCCTCTACATCCCCAACAAGGTGCCTGTCCCTAGCCCCGCCACCCCCCCCTCCCCAGCATCCTCAGGCACCACCCACAGGTGATGCCCTCTGCTGTGCCCTGCCCCAGGTGCTGATTCTGGCTGACGGGGACCCCTCAAGCTTCCTATCCCGCCAGCTGCCCTTCCTGAGCACCCTGCGGCGGCTGGAGGACCGGGCCACCGCCTACGTGTATGAGAACCAGGCCTGCTCCATGCCCATCACAGAGCCCTGTGAGCTGCAGAAACTGCTTCTCCAGTGATGGCCAGCCGCAGGGCTGGGGTGGGAGACCAGGCTTCCCAGCCGACTCAAGCCCCACAGGGCCAAGTGGGACCTGAGGCCACCAGGTGACCTTGGCCATCCTCTCTGCTCCCCACGGACACCCATGCGCCCTGGAATAAACCTAACAGCATCCCGTGGTGACTCGGGCTCTTGGCTTCATTTGCGAGGGAATCTGTATCCTGGACCCCAGCTAACCCTGTCCTCTCCCATCCCCTCCTCACCTTCCAGTGGTCACTGGGCTGCCCCTGCCCCCACCCATGACCATGAATCTGAATGAAACTGAGACCAAGGGACTAAACCAAGTGCAGAGGACCGGGCTGGGGCCAGTGTGTGTACTGGGCCAGGAGAGGGCCTGAGAAGTGGACCTGTCCTTCTCCACCATTGTCTTTTTCTGCTGTATGGAGGACTGAACCCAGGTCCTTCCAGTTGGGCCAGAACTTGGCAATCCTCTTGCCTCAGCCTCTCAGAGGCTGGGATTACAGACTTGCATCACGCTGCATGACTCCCATACTGGGAATGGGGAAGGGCCTGGGCATGCTGGATCCGAGTGTCTGCATTTTACAGATTGACCAGTTCGCATGTGCCCTGGGGCATAGTGTGTCATTGAGATTAAGATATCCTTTGGGAGGAGCCCTCTCCCCCCACCTTGGGCCCTCACCAGGAGGGAAGCAAGGACTCTAAAAGAAGCTGGAGGGAATAGTGCTTGCTGGGAAACCTGTCTGGTCCTAGAAAGGGTTTGCTTTTGTGTGGGGCAAGTGTTGGGGTCAAATCTTTTTGCAAATCTTAGTTCTTCCTGCCTCAGAGGAAGCTGGTGTCTTCCACTGCCACCACCATGCTGGGAGATGCTCTTGAGTCCCATCGTGTCATGTGCACCTTTTGGGGCTCCAGAAATGCACGTAGGCAACTGGGAAGGGCAGGAGCAGAGCAATGGGGCTGACGGGGTAGTGGGAGAGCTGCTCCTGGGGCTTTCAGGGCTTCCCAGAGCCCGGCATCCTCCCAGCCCCCAAATCCCTGCAAGCCCAACAGCTGAAAGAAGCTGCTAGGGCCTGGGGGGGGGGTCACTGCTTACGGAGACAGCACAGCAAGAAGGAGCCGGGGGACTGCATGGCACTCCCTGAGCAGGGTTACACACGGCCACTAGGACTGTGTCAGCTCCACCTGGATACCCAGCCCTCGGCACAAGCTGTCAGCCCCCATGGAGGGGATTAGCACCCCAGCCAGTGAGATTGGCCGGGCCCATGTTAAAGTCCACTTGGCCTGGCCAGGAAGTCAGAGGCCGGAGGTGCAGAGTTTGGCCTGGGCGGGGTGGTGGTGGCATGGAGAAGCACAGGTGGCCTTTCTGGCAGCTAGTGCCCTGGCTCTAAACTGGCTGGGCCCTCTGCACAGCCCTGTGCCGCCATCATTGCGCTGATCTGTGTGATTGCAGGGTGGAGGATGGGGAGGGTCTGGCCTGAGACTCTGCAGTAGAGCAGGTACTTCCTGGGGTCCTCAGGGTAGGTACAGCAGGAATCACAAAGTGTGCCTTCCCCAGAAAGTCCAGGCAACCTTGTGGGGGAGGGCGAGTCCAGGGTCTTACCTCCACTTAGCTGCTTCCCCATGTCTCTTTCCCTTTGGGAATCAGGCTTGCACCTACAAATGGGTTCAGAAGGCTAGGGCCTTAGCAGGCTCCTTCACCCAAGAGCGCTTCATTTTCCAAAGAGGGTGAGCCTGAGCATATACCCTACCTGAGGTATACATTCAGTGAACATCTGAAAGTCTCCTGGTGTGTGTGGCCTCTGTCCAGGTCTGTCAAGGTGACCAAAGAGGGAACTGTTTGTGTGATCCCTGAGCAAAGAGTGTCACTGATGGAAGATTCAGCCTCCTGGAGCCATGGGGTGCAGGGTAGGGGTAAAAACCAGGGGGCTTCAGGGGGCTGCTGGAGGCTGGCAAGCAACACATATAGGGGTTCCCCTCAAACTCAGAGAAGACCTCAGACAACACACAGACCTGACTTCTTCCTGGGAAAACAGGCTCAAAAAAGGGAACTTTTTTCTGTCTCACTCCTTCTTTTCGCTACCTGAGGTGAACAAAAATTTACTAAGCACCTACTTTGTGCCAAACACTAGGACCTGGTGAGTAAAATGGGCACTGTCCTTGCCTCAGGGTACAAATGGCCTGGAGAGGGAGACAGAGATTTCTTTACCGCCAGCATAAACGTATGGTTCCAGCCTCGGCTAAGTACTGGGAGGATGTAGACTTAAAACATTAAAAACATTTTTATTGCTACCCATTTGCAGTGCAATGATTATATTCATCGTGGGGAGCTGGCACTGGTATATGACACATCTGAATTCTCCTCACTTCCGCTTGCCCAGGATGGAGACTTCTGTCTGGGTACTGCACCCGCAGCACCCTGGTGATTAACAGACACGGAAATACTGGCTGGAAGGAAAGCCAGGCCGAGTAGGGGGCACTTGGAGCCGGGACCCCAGGACTTCAAGATGGAGTCTGGTCTTGCTTGGCAGCCTTCTGGCCGTCAGCATCACCCCAAAAGCTGAGTACACTTTCAGGATGTCATAGTCCCCTCGTGCCCAGGTACAGGCCACCCCCAGGCCACTAAACCAGGAAAGCAGTCCTCAGTGCACCTGAGCTTGGTCCCTCTCCCTCGGGGGTGGGGGCAGCCCAGGGACAGGGTGGCCTGGAAGATGCTTGAGGGAGCTAGGGCCTGCCGAACGCCCGACCCAGCAAGCCTGGCCTCATTTCATTTCCCCTCTGCAAAGGCTTCCTGTGCCAGCCGCTCTGGGGCTCTGGACCCTGGGCAGAAAGGCAGGACAGCCCCGCCAGACTGCTGACCTGCGGGAGGCAGGAAGGTGTCAGACGCACGGAGAGAACCATAAATAGCCCCCTTTCCCAGAAGGTGGCTCCAGGTTCAAGACTGCTGGGCCCCGCGCGCTCACTGAGAACGGAGCAGAGACTCCAGCCTGAGACGCGGGCACTTAAGAGAGCTGCTCATTAGCATGAGATGCAAATGAGCCCGGCCTCATTTGCACAACTCGGTGCCCGGATTCGGCGAAAGGGCAACCGGGGAAGCTAAGGCGCTGCAGCCGCCGCTCTGCGCCACCGGCCAGGAGGAGGTTGAGGCGGCCCCCACCCACGCCGCCGTGGAGGGCCCGCAGGGCTGCGTGGGCCGCGCGGCTCGGGCAGCTGGAAGGAAGCCGGGGAGCTGGGGGTCAGCGGCCCACCATCGGCCTCTCCCGCCGAGGTTGGGCTCTAATCCTCTGTGCCCTGCTCCTTCCCCGTGTCCAGTTATCCTCGTGGACCCGGTTCTACGGTATCCAGTTTGAGGGGTGACGCAGGTGGCGGGAGGGAACTAGAGCTGCCTGCGCCCTAGAACTGGGTATGGAGAGGCGGGGCGAGGCTGAGGTCTGGGTGAGGATGTGCGCGCACGGGAAGGCGAGGAGGGAACTCCGCAAAGCTACTGTCCTGTGGTCAACCTTTCCCTAAGCCAAACGGAGACTCCAGTGGGAGAAACTGAGGCACAGGGTGAGAGGCAGGTCAGCGCTCTCTGCAGGAGTTGATAAAGCCCAGTGGGTGCTGCTACCTCCTCCCAAACACTCGAGCCAGGTCCCTTCGCTGGAACTCAGGCTCTGCAGTTCAGGGTGACCTGGCTGGGCTACGAGTTCAAGCACAAGCCCCGAGAGTGGAGTCTATACCCTTCAGCCTTTCTAAGGGCACAGGCTGGATCTTAGGGCCTGTACGCTAAGTTAGGATGTCAGGGTCAATCTTGACGTGGGTCAGGGCGGCAGGATCCAATAACCCGAGGAAGCTGGTGGAGGCCAAGTGCAGACCTGGCCTACCTCGGCCTTTCCCTGGCTACGCCCCTCCCCTGAGCTCCGCCCCCAGCCGAGGCCCCGCCCCCGAGACATCCTCTCTGCTCACCTCCTACCCAGCCCCGCTCCCGGGTCCCGCGACTCCGTAGGCGATGAACTGGGTGGAGACCAGGACTTTGGCTCTGGAAACCCAGTCGCCCCCCTAGTCCCCGTACTCACTGTCTCGTCTTCTCAGACCTGACCAGAGCTGAGCTCCGCCCTCTGGCTGCTGTCCAATTCGGGGTCCTGAACAAAGGATGCCCAGGACTTGAAGTGCTACCCCAGGACTAGGCGCTGAACACTCTGATTCTCTGGGGCTCCCTCGGGGGGCGTCCCAAAGACCCCAGCGGCCAATCGAAAAGTGGGTTCGGCCTGGGAAGCCATCTCATTGGCTCCAGCCTTCGGGAGCGGACCTAGGGCCAAGGGGCGGGGAGAGGGGCGGTTCCGAGATTTGGGGTGGGAACCGGATTCCAGCTGTGTTCTCCCCCCCGCCCCGCAGCCCCGCCCGCACTGCCGCGGCGGCCGACCAATGGGCTTGCGGCTCGGGCCCGGCGGCGAGCGGCGATTGGTTGTGAGCGCGGCCGGGGAGGGGCGGGGCCAAGGCTTGAAGTTGGAGTGAGCGATCCAGCTGTGGCGCGCGCCGGGCTCCTCGCCGCCGCTTTCGCTCGCTCTCTCCGCGTCTCGGCCGGAGGAGGAGGCAGTAGCGCCGGCGACAGCTACGGCATCGGCGGCCACCGCGGCGGCGGCGGCGAGGGCGACGGCGGCGGCGGCGGTGGCATCTCCGCCTCCACCCCCGCCCGGGACGGCCCCCCACGGTCTCCCCGCCCACCCCCTCGGGCGGTGCGCCCGCCGCGGGGCGGAGGAAGGAGCCGCCCCCCACCCCCCCAAACCCACTCGCCGGGAGCCGCTCCTCCCCTCCCCCGCCGCCGCTGGTGCGGGGCTGGGACGATGCTGACCCCTTAGATCCAGCTCCAGCTGTGCCGCGGGAAGAGGGGGCGCCCTCCGCGGACCCCCGTTCTCCTCTGCTGGGCACCCCCCTTTCCTTCTCCCTATCTCGGGGCCGCTTCGCCGAAGAGAGCGCGGATCCGGGCACAGGAGCCTGGGCGCCAAGCGAAGAAACCGGACAAAGTGAGGGGGACCTGGCTGGCTGGCCCGGGGTGCCCGGGGATCCCGGGAAGTGGGTTGCTCGCCGGGGGGCTGCCCTGGAGCCGGCGCCCCGCGGGCAGCATGCGAGCGGGGCTGAACTGGCCCTGCCGGGGGCTCAGCCTGCGCCCTAGGGCTCCCCCGATGCGCCCCCGCCGGGGTCCCCCGTCTGCGTGAGGACCCCTCCTCCGAGGGGCGCCCTTGCCCCTCTCCGAACTCCCGGGCCCCGGCCGGCCGAGGATGGACGAGGAGGATGGCGCGGGCACCGAGGAGTCAGGACAGCCCCAGAGCGCCCTGCGGCTCAACGACCTGTCCGGGGCCGGGGGCCGGCCGGGGCCGGGGTCGGCGGAGAAGGACCCGGGCAGCGCGGACTCCGAGGCCGAGGGGCTGCCGTACCCCGCACTGGCCCCCGTGGTTTTCTTCTACTTGAGCCAGGACAGCCGCCCGCGGAGTTGGTGCCTCCGCACGGTCTGTAACCCATATCCTTCGGGGTGCCCCGGCCGGGATGGGGGGTCTGAGACGGGGGACGGGGTACCTAGAGCCTGGGGAGTCAGAGAAGTGAGTCTCGAAGGTAGGTGGGCGCGAGAGGGGCTGCTCGTGAGGAGAAGGGGGCACCGGGATGGAGCAAGAGACGAGCTGGGCCGATGGGGACCCCGGGGGAGCCCCACCTCCGTGCACATACACCTCGGTCCTCCTCGGAGGTGAGGGGGTTGGGATCCAGGCCGAGAGAAGAGAGGAGACTTACCCCTCTGGTTTGCAGCTGGATGCTGTCCAGATGTGGGCACCGGAGGGTCGTCATCCTCCAGATGTGGGGAGCTTCGGGAACCCGGACGCCGTCCTCCACCCGCCGCGGGTTAGCGAGCTGGGTTTGGTTTCCGAGTTTGGGGGCTGGGGTAGGGAGGAAGCTGCGGGGACGGAGGAGGGGAGACCGCAATCTCCTGGGTTTTCCTCCTGCCCCCGCCCCAAAGTTTGCGGCGGATTCTAGGGTGTGATCCCCACCACCTGGTTCTGGGGCTGAGGTCTTTACTGACCCAGAAGGAGATGGGGGGGGGTGGAGACCAGGTCTTCACCCTCCCACCCACCCCCACCCCGCGGGCTGGAGGCACAACAAGGAGATTCCGGCGGCGGCTGATGTCAGGGGTGCAAAATGAGAACAAGATGTGGTGGTGAGGGGGAGCCGTCTGCCCCCGGAGCTGGACCGGAGCCCCTTTCAGCTGGAGCCCAATGCGGGGAGAGCCTCCCTCCGCCTCAGTTCCTCCTTTGATGCCGAGTGCTTTGGGTCGGGCTAGAGTTTCGTGCTGGATTTTTTTCTGGTGGAGGGAAGGACTGTGGTAGAAGCTTTGGCAACTGGGGGGATGGGATGGAGCCGAGCCGAGTTACCCCTCCCCTTTCACAAACAGTGCTAGGCTGGCGGCAGAGCAGGTACCGACAGAGCCCGCAGCCCTGTGAAAGCTGGGGAGCCCTGTGCCTGCTAAGGAGGACTCCGGTCCCTGCCACCCCAGGGTCTGCTCTGTAGATGGGGACCCTTGCCCCACATTCCAGGACGTGTATTCAGAACCCGTGCCCTAGCCTCTGCCCTGTGTGGAGGGGTCTGGGGGAGCCTGGCCTCTCCATCCATAGCACAAAGTGCTGCTTGTCTAGGTCCCCGGGAAGGGACCCGGTTAGTTGCGCTGTCATCCCAGGTCATGGCACCTTCTCTGGGCTCAGTCCTGCCAGCTTGGAGGGTCTTGGGACTCAGGGTGGGAGACCCCAGGCCCAGGACTCTGCTTGGGGAGGAGGTGGTTAAAATCTTGGTACTGCCCTCCCTCTGCGGAGCTGCTGCCTCTAGGGCACAGAGCCAGCTGAGAGCTTGTCCCCCCCCCAACTCCTGGGGTTTTGGGAAGCCACCCCCCAGGCCCAGCCCCTCCTCCCTTCTCTCTGAGCTGCAGAAAGAGAGCTGGGGGCCTTAGAGGTCTGTGGTCCTGCTGCAAAGACACCCATTGAACTGGGGACCCTCCACCCCCAGACCCTCTCTCCCTGGCCCAGCTGGAGGTGGATAAAGAGTGTCGCTGACAAGGTTGGGCCCTGGGCATCTGTCCTTTGTGCCTCTGGTCACTTGACCCCTCTGTGAATGGGAAAACCCTCCAGCTCCTCTCTCTTCCTTCTGGGGGTCCCAGAGAGATCTTCCCCTCTCCCTTTCCACACCCCCAGAGGCAGATCTCTTGCGCCATTCTCCAGATATAATGCTTGGAGACAGATGTCCTTGTGGAAGAGGAGATGTGGCCAGAGGTGGGCGGGAGCCCAGTCCCCATTTGAGGGTAGGCAGCAGGTTTACCCTAGGAGTGGAAGTATGGGGTGTGAGGCACCCACGTCACTAGGTCAGACTAGCAACTGAGCCTGTGTTGGCTGAGGATGTTTCGAGAACAACTTCTTGGCAAAAGGATTGCCCCAGCCATGCCCCTGGTGCTCCTGACCCTTCAGGTGCCAAGGGGAACCTGTGTGCTCGCTGCTGGGGTGGGGGGCTATGAACTGCCCTGGGGCCTTTGCTTTCCTCCTTTGCCCCTTTTTGGCATCTGGAAAACTTCCATGGGCTCCAGGAGGTTCCACCTCTGAGTCCGAGGGCCATAATGACCCCTTTCCCCAGCTAACTGGAGCAGGTTAGCCTTTTCTTGGCCATTCCTCCTGTCTCAGCCTCCTTAGGAGACCAGGTTTCCTAGAGAGAAGCAGTAGGCAGGGAGTGATGTGTGTGTGTGAGTGTGAGCATGAGTGGCTGTGTGTGTATGTGTGTGCTGGGGAGTGTGAAGGGCAGCAGGAGGAGATGTCACCCGAATGCGTGTTTCAGTACAGGGGAGAGCAGGGCACAGGCTCAGTCAACTCAGAGCCAGCAAGGCCCCCACCTTCAGGTTATGGGTGTGTTGGCCTTCGCAGCGTGTGTTTCTCCAAGTGTGAGGGCGTGCGTTTCCCCTCCCGGGAAGGAGATCCTGAGCATTCCCTCTCCGGCTGCTGTGTCACATCTGGAAGTTTGTGTAGGAGTTTCTCCAAGCTCGGAGCCCAGCACAGCTTTTTCTCATTTGGAAATCACAGGCTGGCATTTGGGATGCTGAGGAGGGGGGAGTGGGAGGGGGCCCGAGGGGAGAGGGGAGCCTGCCAGGAGCAGGGGGACGAGGAGGGGGAGGCCTGAATGGCAGGAGCCCTAATGGCTTCCAGAAGTGGATGTGAGTGTGTGACTGCGTCACTGTGTATGTGTCTGAGAGTATGCCTCGAGAAGGAGGGGCCCCCGGGAATTTCTGGAGTGTTCCTTGCTGTTGTCCCAGTGCCCTGAGTCGGCCTGCTTCTGCTACCTAGGGAGAGTGCTCCCTTGGTCCCAGAGGAGGGAGGGTGTACGTGGTGGGGACGTCATGGTGGGGGAGGTTGTGGCTGACCCCTTGCCCATGCCTTCTTTCCACATTCCTCCCTCAGGTTCTGCAGTCGATTCTGGGGAGAGGAGTGGAGCAGGGCACCCCTTGGAGCTGTCTCTGCCCCAAGCCCACCTTCCCTGTGGGTCGCAACCACAGCATCCCACCCACGGTGCTCTGCCGCACTGCTGAGGGACTCCCCGTCACCCCTAGTGCCAGTTGGAGCCAGTCCTGGGACTCCCCCCAGGCCGGCCCTCCCATACTTGGCTGCTGCCGCCCCAGCTCTCACCCCGCCCTGCCCGCCTCAGCCAGGATGGCGACAGACTCAGGGCTCACACACGCAGACATGCGCACATGCGTGCACACACAGCCACAGACGCTTGAATCAGATTTCTGGCCTATTTCCTCTCCCGAAGATTCCAGCGGCCCAGTGTCTCTGGTGTCTCTGTGTCTTGAGTCTCTGTCTCGGGGCGGGGCCGGCTGCTGCCTTTCTGCTGGCTTCGTTTAGCTGGAACCTTTCTCCCCACACCCACCCTGTGGAGCTGGGGGCAGGCTTGCAGGAAGGGGGGCTCTGCTGGGGAATCCCCCTTTCTGCCTGCCTGGCGGAGCCACCAAGACTGTAACCCTGCCCATCCTGGGATTCCTGAATCTGGGGGACCCCAGCGTCTCTGTGGATGGGCGAGGTGAAAACCTGCTCAGCCCACCTCTCCAACTCTTACTAGAAGGCCAGGATTCCTGAGTCCAGGCCCATTTCCTCCTCAAGGATCTTCCAGGCTTAGGTTTCCAGGTTCCTAGGAGGGCAGCTGCTGTGCGTCCTGCTTCCCTTCTGGGCTCAGACCTGGAGCCTTGTGTCCCGAGAGGCCCCTAGCCTGCCTCTCTCACCCCCACAGCTGCCAGGCTGGGCACGGGCTCTGTCTAGATAAAGCTCCACGGAGAGGATGCGTTTGTGGAGATAACGTGCTCTACTTCTGTCTCCCAGGAGAGAAAAGCAGGAGGAGGAGGAGGAGGAGGAGGAGGAGGGCTGGAAGTGGGGTTCCTTTCCTGCCATTTCCTTTTTCTCTGCTTTTGATGGTGGGTTGTGGGGATAAGAAAGATCTTCCCCTCTCCTGCCCCCACCCTTTGGGATCCACTCCAGCCTGGACAGTCACCATAGCAACAGTAGACATGTGATTGCACAGGTCTCTCATAGTCACTATGGCAACCAGTGTCCCCCGTTCCCTTGGTTACCATGGGGATCCGTCACATGGTTTCCCCCCAACCTGATAACCTGTGGGTCTCCCTGCTTCCCCTCTCCTGCATAGGAGAAGACGGCAGACTGGGTAAGGGGAAATTGTGTGTGTGAGGGGTCTCTTTAATTACCATGGCAACAAATCCATACCTCCTGGTGTCATATCCTCCCATTGCCATGGCAACAGAAGAACATCACACAGTGACATAGTGCCACATTGCCAAGGAAACTAACCCCACCCTGAAAAGGGTGAAAGACCTGTCCCCCATGAATTATTCCTCCATTCAGATTGTCCCAAATTTGCTTGTCCTTTGATGCCAGCTTCAGGGGAAGAGGAGAGGTAGACAGCAGACAGGATGTACCTGGCAGAGGGCTGAATGCCAGCAGGGCCTGGAGAAGGCGCTTTGCTAGTGAAGAGCTTCTGTGGGCAGATTCTGGCCAGGAAAAGCCCTAGGCTGAGCATGTGTGAGGGGGGCCCAGGGTCACTCCAGGGTCACCTGTGCCCCCCTGTTACAGTCAGCCCATCACCCCTGCCGATCCATTGGTTCATTCGTCCATTCATTCTTTCACTCTCCCCAAGCCTTGGTCATCCACTCCGTGCCAGGCACTGCGTGGAGCTCTGCTGGGGGAAGGGAAGGTGTAGTAGAGTGGCCCCACTTACCAGGAGCCCACAGCTCAGGCCGGAGTCGGGGGTGCAGGTGATTTAACGTGGTGCAGCCGTGCCCTTAGAGGGCTTCAGACAGGTGTTCTGAGCCCCTCTATCTGGGAGAACACCCCTCCCTACCTGAAGACGTCTGTTACCCCTTGCTTGAGGATAGTGACCAGTTCTCAGGGATAATCGTGTCCTTTCTTTCCAAGTGATGGCTCCATCCCTGTCCCCCCATCCCAGAGTGACCCCTGGCTGACCCCCATTCTGGGGAGCAACCTACTGGGCTCTGGCTCCACTCAGGAAAAGGGCTCCTTGACAACGGTATTTCCCCTTTCCATCTACTTACTCCCAAAACCTTGAACTTTTTTATATATATAAACACTCTTGTAAGGCATGGCAGTTAGGGAAATTGCAGTGTTTGGGGACTTCTGAGGTACCAGGGACAGAGAGTGGACAGGCATGTGTGTCTGAAGAGGAGAGGTAGAAAGAGAAAGACACGGCATGGCCAGGATCTGCTTGGAGGGGTTCTCCGGGGCCCTGGACACTCTTGCTGGTCTCTCTATGCCTGGCCAGAGTCCCTCGTCCCCGAGGCAGGGCTGAGGCAGGAGACTGCACGCGCCAGGCCCTTCTGTGTCTGGTGCAGTGGGGCAGGCAGGGGGGCTGCCGTGACACCCCCTCCACATCCATTCCCAGGCAGTCCCTCTCCCTCTCCCCGGCACCCCATTTCTGCTTGGCCCTGGACTCTTCTCTCTTTCCTCCCTTGTTGTATGTCCCAAGAGAAAAATGGGCTGCTTGGTCATTTTGCTATGAGTCTGGAGCCTGGAACCGAAGGAGTCCGGAGGCTGCTTGCTCATTCTCCTGCCGACAGGCTGGGAGAAGCTTCAGTTCCAGAGATCACAGCCCGCACTGCTGTTCTGAGCTGTGCTGAAAGGCACAAGGTGTGAGGGCAACATGGCACGTGTGGGGTGCAGTCCAGGGCCCAGCGTGGGGTTCACGCCTAGCACAGTGCGTGGCATGGCACTTGGAGAAGTTGGGCCTGCAACTACGGGCTCCTTGTCTGCCAGGCTCCAAGGTGGCAATCCCTTGCACGCCCACCTGGGCAGCTGTGGGGTGCAGAAGCTGGCGTCGTAGATG